ACTAATTCCACTTATACATCGGTTTATGGATGAAAAGTACTTCGCTTTTCACTTCGTTAATGAATGGAGATTGCACAATAGCTGATCCATTTCATAAATGAAAAGTAAGGTTTAGACTGAATTGTAAAGTGCATTCATTTTTTTAATGGCATTCCATCCAGAGAAGCTCGTAGTTTCAAACAACGGGAAGTGGTATCGGACGGGGAACATTAACCGATAGGACAACGGAATGTTCGTAAGAGTCTCCGAAATGTTCGGAGTTATTGTGACAATTTTGGACAGTTAAGCTTATGGTAACGTATGCTCATTTAAATAAAATTTGTAATTTTGAATTGTTAAAGAGTTTATAAATAAATCATACAAAATAGAGTTTCTTCATTTTGTTTCCTCATTAAATATCGTTTAAAAACATAAAATTGACGTACTTTATGTACATACCTTCATTGGAAGAGTTTGGACACTACTAAGTCAAAGGGGTGTCACTTGCTCTTAGAATGAACTGACAACTCGAAAAAAATGTAATGTTAAACTGAATTGAAAAATATTTCTGAGGTACAATAACAAAGTGCCAGAATTAATAATTCAAACTATATTTCGTAGTATCCGGACTTCATCTTAACTACTGGTCTGCAGTAGCAAAAATGTGCTAAAGAACAACAAATAAAATACTCTACTATAACACTATTATAGATTAAGTGTTTTAACAAAAATAGTCTGCCGATCCAGATGGCCGAGATCGCTAAGGTAGTAGTGCCGTAGCAATCTCTGTCCGATCGCGGGTTCGAGTCCCGCCTCGGGCATGGTTGTATTTGTGTTCGTCCTTTCACCCCCTATCATCGTCATATCGTGTCATCCTCACAGTTACCAAACCGTTATACGCAATAGTGGTCGCTAATGACTTAGAAGTTGATGCAACCTTCAATTTAAAAAAAAACAAAAACAAGTCTTCACGAATACTGCAATAACATGATACAGTACGTACTGATACTCCGTACAACAGTTCTTCACATACTAAGAATATCAAAAAAGTTGCTTTTCCATAGAGCAAAACACGTGAATAGCATATATTTAATGGCGGATGGCATCTTTATTGTAGACTTTCTGACGTATGACGTCAGCAGTATCAAAAACAGTGACACATTGAGTATGAGAATTCAGTCGGTGCGCGAAGTGTGAAAATAGGCGGAACGTAAATATTGGCATTTTCAATCAAAATGGAAACTGTTTCATTGTTTTGTGATTTTCCCCGAGTTTCTGGGCATCTAACGTAACCACAGATCTCTTCTCACATAGCCAGAGTCTACAAAGTTTTTTGTTTTTTTTTTCAATTTTTGTGGCCATTAGAAAAAAGTAATAAAGATAAGAGAGTGTCACTGAGTTACCTCTCCGGTTTCAACATATGGTGGCGTTAGAGTAACCACCATAACCTGTCTCCCAATATGTGTATCTTGGTGACTGTTTATTAGCACAATTTACTCAGTAATAATCACATAAATATGTATTAAAATATTTCTTTATAATATCGCCTGCTGAGAATTGGTTAATATTAAGTTCACAATTTTTGTTCTTTGCACACAGTTACACGCCTTTATTAAACATTTAATTTTTTTTTGTTTTTTTACATAAACAGGATAGGTAATTATCAGGTGTTCCAGCTATAAATTCATGCCAAATTAGCAGTACACCTATAGTTATAAATATTACATTTTCTGTGTCACCAAGCAACATTATAAGCGAATGAATCAGTAACCATACCAGTGGCGGTTTCTAAGAGAGAAAAGAGAGGAACACCCTTCTCACTTATTTCCTTCGTCAAATGTAATTACGAAATAAAATATTTGGTTTCATGTTTGAAACTGTAAAATTTTTTAATTGATGACTATGAGGAAATTATTTGTGTGGAGATTTTCACCTACGCGCGCTTTTAAACTTGACGAAAACGAGCGCAATCAATGAAAGTCGCTCTGAGAAGGAACTCGCAGCCTTGACTCCTCTCGTGAGTTAATCGGCCATATCTCTCACCAGAAGAGGAAACATTTTTAAAGGAGTGAAAGCAGAAGGGGAGAATATCCTCCCTTGAAGTGACATCTATTGGCATGATTTTGAACCTGAAGAACGTGCCATGGGCGGTGGCTCATGTGTCACTCTGGTAGGCAAGAGTCAGAAATATGCAGAGCAGTAGGCCTGTGTAATCTTACAATTTGGGCTGAAGGAAGCCACGGGAATACCGAACTGATATCTTTCTCTCTTACCCAAACGCAGGTCGATAAATGGGTGTAATCTAATTTGCTGTATGTTGAATTTGATGTATTTTAAGCAATTGGCTTCTGTCGTTGTCTTCAGAAACATGCACGACTTGCCACTGATCTTTGTGAAAAAGCAGTGAACTATCTTCTAAGAACTATCAATTCAACTTCGAGCATTGAATGTTACGTTTGAAAAACGCGGCATAACATTTAAATGCCATTAGCAGTAGGACATACATCAAAGCAATTCTGAAGACAAGTGAGGAATATAACATTGATCGTATATCCTTTCATTTGTATTTTTAAAGTATGTAAACATATGCGTTTATGATTGTTCTTCGTTTATAAACCAGCAAAAATGAATATGAAACAAAACATGTATGCCGGCGATGTTTAAAAATATAAAATGCATTCCACACAGTGCAAAAAAAAAAAAAAAACATTTCGAAACACATGTAGCTCAAGAACTTCCTAATGTCTGTACACAAATCATTCGCGTCGCGGCGCCTGCTTATGCGAATGGGCGTTGTACGAAAACAGAACTCTCCTTCCGCGGCGGGGCCGGGCCGGGGCGAGCCGGTGCTTACGGCGCGGCGCGGCGGTGCAGGTGACCTTCGGGCGCCAAGGTCCGCGAGCGGGCGGGCCGCTTTGTTCAGGTGCGGCAGCCGGTTGGCGGGCGCCGGGGGACGCGGCCGCGGGCCCCCACGCCGCCGCCGCCGCCGCCGCGGCGTCAGTGTTGGCGGAGCGTGCGCTGGCGCCGCTCGGTCCGCACCGGAGCGCGGGTGCGTCCTACGGTCACGTCGCGTGCGTTCCGACGAAGAAGCTGCGAGCCGTTTGCTTTGCGTCATTCCAGCTCCGAGGACAGTCCCGCCGCGCCCTCTTCACGCATGGGTATGTGAATGATGGCGAGAGCGTTCGTTAAGGACACGTTGATAGCGAGAAGAAAACAAAATAGTAACGGAGTTGTAAAGGTAACGGTATGCGTCTTCTCATTGAATATCAGGAAGAAAATAGACGAAGCCTCAGATTTTGATTTCACAGAGCATATTGTTAATGATTTATTGTGAAGTTGGCAATCAAATTCTTTGATTTATTTCATTTGTTTATTTCTTGTTTTAGCAGACTTGCACCTGTGTTGTGCGCGCGGAGGATCGCGGACAAAGCGTTGACAAGAAAGAGCGATTTATTCAGGAACAAGATCCATGTAAAAAAAAAAAAACAACAGAAAAGTACGGTGGTGTTGTGATGACCGTGTTAGTAAGTCAGGAGTTGAGATCTTCAGAAACGGAGCAAGAATGGTGTTTTGTTGATAGTGATTTGAATGCAAATAGTTTGCGTCACAGATCTTGTTATTTCTATGTTTGTAGTTCGAAACGTTCGCGGTTTCGCCTTCGTCGATTTTGCGGCTTCGCGGTTTTGTTTCGTCCGTCGCGCTCTTCCTGCCGCGAAGGCGTAACGACATTGCACGCTACATTCAAGGTTCCCGGCGACGAAGCTGTTCCTGGTTAACCTTTTTCTTTAATTTTATCAGTTCACGGATGGCCAGGCACGGAGGCACTGGCGATGATTGTGTTGCAAGTTCGATTGCGATCACGTCGAGAAGTATTTGAGTGTTTGTGGAAATGGATTTTGTATGTGAGAACTGATCGTAAGATAACATATTTACTATTTATGTTGGATTTGGCGTGTGCATAGTCCATATGTATATATGTATGTATGTATATGTGTGTTTGCATTTGCGTACACATTATTCCGTTGTCTATGTAACGTATGCGTATGTGTACCTAAATGGTTACGTAAATAACGTGAACGTATGTTTACGTCTTTGTTTATGAATGGATTTCATTCATATGTCGCAATTACGCGCACAGTATGGCGAAAGTTTTGAATTCCTGTTTCGTTGTTGGTGCCAAGTGTGATTAAAGAAGTACCAGAAAAGTAAAACTTTTGCAAAGAATAGTACACGAAGGTGAGCACTCAGTTTTGTTTTGCAGACCGACATGTTTTTGCCAAAGCAGTACCGTGCTAGAGATAGCCAATTGAAACAATATTTTCTTTTTAATCAACGAATAATTACGATCTATTTATGAGGAGAAATAATCAGTAAATGCTATAAAGAGAGTTATTGAACAAAATGAAATGAAATACAAGTAACATAGTCGCCCATTGATACTTTCCTTGGTATTTTCATTAATCTATAACAAAAGCTCAATAGAACATTATTGTTGAGGAAAACAAAATTCAAAATATATAAACAATATTAGAACACAATTAGAGAACCTGTTTGGATAAATGTTACTTATCACAACGGTCGGAGAGATGAGAAGAAATTAGAACTGAGAAGTACCTTCGGTTATTTATCAATATTTTGATTGTTTACATTTATGAGAAATATATTTTTGAACCACACATTTCAGAACGAAATAAATGTATTGTTTTATTGTATCGTTGCATTGCGTAAACATGAAAATGTTTCGTAACAGAAATAATGAATGGATTAAGTATTTTTCGTCAATTTGTAGCGGATTTTAAATGTTAAGAGTAATTCTAGGAGTGTTGTGAAAACAAAGTCAATGTAATTGAACAAAATATGTCTAAAACAATAACTGCATTCCTTTTCAAGATAGTGTGTTAAAATTTGTGAAAATATTTTGGGATGAGCTGGGTATTATCGGTGATGTATTGTATTTTTGGAATCTCCTAGTGTGCAAACGCCACGCAGGGGCCGCTGACGCAGGCGCGCGCGTGTTGCAGGTGAATGAGGCTGGTCATGGACCCGCTGGGGAGGGCGGCCGAGGTGGTGGAGGCGGCCGCGCTGCCGCGCTGGTCGCACACGACGCCCCCGCGCTCGCTGCTGGGGCTGGGCGGCGACGCCAGCGGCGGCGGCGGAGGAGGAGGGGGAGGGCCCGAGGGGCGCCCGCGCAGCGCCTTCCCCTGCGACCCCGCGCTCAACGAGAAGATCGCGCTCTGGTACAGCAACCTACTTACATCTCGTTCTTTCTTTGTTTTGGCTTCACGCTTTTAGTTTTGCTTCCTGAATCTAATAATATTTACAATGCATGTTAAAAGGATGTCATCTCTCGTAAATATACTCTCCCTATATATCCTAACATTTACGAAAATATACAATACATTTTCATATCTTGCCCATCCTACAAAACAATGAAGTTCTCATCTTAAACGATCTTGTTGGTCATGAAATAAGGGTTTTTATTCAGTCTTTTAAGTGACGAAAAGGCTATCAAACCCCAGTCGTGTTTACGAAAATGTGCATTTCTTGGGAATGGATAGACTAAGTATTGGGATATGTTCCCAATCGTTTCCTTTTGTGAAAATTATTAAAACCATTGACACACCCTCACAGTAATTACGTGTATCTTCTCAAACTCATAAACTTGCGTAGTAGTCGTTAGTAAATATTTCACTAGATATTAGATATTTAGAATTATTCATTAGTTAATAAATAATTGAGAAGGATAAAATTGCTACACAAATGACATCATTTGCAATATTTTTAACCATGTTTGAATTTCAACGAGTAATACCATATATTTTTTAAAAAAAATCCCGAATAGTGTTTTTTTTTAAATTACTTGTAAGAATTAAAAGAGCAAATTTAAAATAAGTGCTTGAATTGAAACCATTTTATTAAAAAATACACTAAAATTAAGTGTAAAAGTTATATTCTGACAAATTTAAAAATCAAAAAGACAAAAACGATCATGTTTATTTAATTAATGTAATACGAATAAGAACCGAAGAAGTTCATGCGTTTACTTTGTTTTGATGAGATAATTCAAATTTTGAACATGCTGTTTCACAATTTGTGGGTCATTGTTATCTAAAATATATTTAACGACAAAACCTCTATTTCACCGTCAACGCTAGCGTATAAGCAGTTCAGACGATTTTCTCCAAAATTGATATTCGCCGATTGATCTGGCCGAAATGGAGTGAGAGTCTTTGGGAGTTTCAAACGGATAATTGTTTCTTTTTTGTTTTTGTTTTTTTTCATAAAGCGTTAAGTTTTCTAAATTTTCAAAAATATCGCTCAACATTTTTCTTTACATTTCTTGTAAAAATAGAGTTAAATTCACATATGAAAATTATATGAGTCCGATTTTCACTTTTTCTCTGAATTTTCGAAATTTGCGGAAGTTCAAAATTCTTTGGACCCCCTCCTAAACTATATTTTTGAAGATAAAATTTTATACAACGAAAAAATCTGTTTTACACAATTAGTTTTTTAATTAATGTCATGTACATTTTTTTAAAAATAGTATCTGTAGTTTTCATGTAATTTTGAATGAAATAAGGGCAATTTTGAAAACAAAGATTTTCTCAAAACACTCTTTAAACACCCACTTTAGACATAGTGCTATATGTACCAAACAATATGCTATAAACGTAATTTTGAGTTTTCAAAATTACACAAATTTTTACGTAAATGTGTCGAGAACATATTTACATTACGGTCATTTTTATACACCATTGCATTCGTCAGTTCTTTAAATGATTTTTTTTGAAATTTCTCGAAAGCTCAAAAGTTTTCTATGAAAATTAGATCGAAATCGCTTATTTTCAGAAACTCTTAAAGGACGTTTTATCAAAAAGTTCCAATTGGTTCCTTTTAACTTTTTGTACTTGTATATAGATTGAATTTATTGAATAACAAGACATCTACACCATTTTGATGTATTGTTTTGCTTTTTTCAAAAAAAGTACAGAATCGTATTTTTTTTAAAAATATCTCTCACTTTGTTGGCTTTCTTTTTACATCATTGGATTTGTGAGTACACGTGCTTCACATTATTTATTAAGACGTTTCTCGAAATTTCAAAAGTTTTGTATGATAATAAGCTTGCATATGATAATAATAAAATTACGCATTTTGATAAGCACTCAAATGACATTTTCTCAAGAACGGCTTCAAATGTATCGATGACAATTTGCATATTGGGCCAGATCGTACTCTTGTATATCTATCTCTGTAATATTCTTAAAACCGCATTTAAATTCTACTATTAGAATACCGAGAAGTTGAGAAAATTTGGGCAAAAACAAGTTTTAGGCTCCGATGGCAGATGGAAAAGGGTTGGGCAAACCCGAAAGGTTAGCCCAACTAAAGAGATTATAAAATTAACTAATTCGAGAATGTCTGTCCCATTTGTAGAATCACTAGTTTTTTAACTTGATTTTGTGTATGAAACAAGCAAGACATTAAGCTTTGTAAATTCCTTTTTTTATTTAACATTCCTGTTGTAATTCGATTGATGTAGAGCACGCCTGATCGGTTTTGCAGTTGCAATTAGAGTACCTAAATTAATGTAACTGCAGTAAATGTAGATTTCCTTGCGCCTTTCACATTCTGATCTTTATTTTCCATGATGGACCGATTACAATTGAATTCCATATTGTTGCTGTGATATAAAACTTGGAATTCAATGAACATTGCAGTCAATGCAATTAATTTCATGTACTGTTCATGTCATAGGTATCGCTTTTATAAATTAAAGCCTGTGCATATTTGCTCTTTTTAGTGAATATGCTAGAGAATATATGCATAAACCTGCAAAGGTTAGATGTTTATAATAGGCTTGAAATATAATATAAAAAGGAAGTGAGTGAAGTGTTGTCACGTCATTGAAACTGATATTGTTTAACATAGTGCTGAAAGTATCCCGTCTCCTTAAGGGAATTAGATTTGTTTTACGATAATGTCTTAAATTCCTCTAGCGTTGATTGTTTATTGTAAACAGCCCCGACTCTCTAATTAAGGATAAATATTAGATTAAAAATTACTCTATAAGAAACTCATACTTTACCTCACAATGTAATACAAATATAATACATGTAGGATTTTCAGTACACATCAAAATGTATTTCAATCTTGTGTCTACAGTTTATACACTCTCTTTTTAATTACTTGTAAATGAACTCGGAGGAAGAATTCTTCCAACAAGTTTCTCATTTTTATTTCTCAGAAAAACTATTGTTGTATGCTTTTGCAGGGTTGGAGATATTTCCAAGCTGAATGCTGAAGCAATAGTCAATTCAACAAATGAAAATCTCTCCGAAAGATTTCCTCCAACGGATCGAATTTTTGCTCGAGCTGGACCACGATTAAAGGAAGAGATTGAACGTGATATTAAAGGTGAGTATAGTGTAAAAATAATCACCTGAGGGAGAACTAATGTATGAAGTTGTTAACTTTTCATGAACTGGTTACGTCTTGATTAGTTGTACCGCTATTTTGAGTACATGGTGACAAATTCAAACGGCAGTTCATGGTGACAATTCAAATTCTTTTTGTATATTACTTATGAACTAGAGACCGTAAATCAGAGCGTCTTAATCGCTAAGCGTAAATAAACCGTTTTCCACGTACTGTAAAAATTCTCGCGCGTTAAATGTGAGCGATGTAGTGTTCGGAACTAGTATTGGCGCAATTAGGCAGTTCGAATTTATGTCGTTGGCGCGGGGGGGGGGGTCCCCACCAGGGAGGGTCTCGAGCTCAAACGTCCTCCTCACATTTTTAATGAAGATTTTTTAGTTTTTTAATGAAGATTAAATAAGCTGCGGAGTTTTGCCTATTTTTTTTTACTTCCGTGGAAAACGCAATCTTTTAAGTTACTTATTCTTTTTTAGGCTTTAGGAGCATTAAATGCGAATTTTATAGTGCCTGTTTCACTAATAAATGCATATTTTGTTTTAAATACCTAAATGTTGCATATTCTCATATTTTAAAATTTGTACGTTTTTTCGTTTTTATCTTGCGAAGTACAGAGAAATCGAAAAACTATCGATACATCTATGTTACGTTTTACATCGGGTATTTCGTATCATGAAACATGTGCAAAGTCACTGGTGGTAGTCGAGTTATTTTATACTTAGAATTTTTTTCAACGACGTCTTCAATTGTTTTTTTAAATTTTATTTTCGTTTTTACCAAAGCACGGTATAAAACTGGTGCCGATCCCATTCTTCGCCAACTGTTGGTATTTTCGATAATTTCAAAAGCATTAACATTGCATAAGAACAGAATGAATACTGATTTCAGAGATTTTTGTCGTAAATGAAATATGTTCTAAAAAATTAGACCTGTAATAAAACGAGCGGTTTTTTACAAAGTTTTTTTTTAACTAGTGTTTTTTGCGAAATTTTTTTGCTTGAAATTAACGTAAATTGTTAAAAAATCTCAAAAACTGATACAATTTTTTCTTCATTTTTTCTAAGATAGATTAAAGGACGCTTAAAAGAATGGGAAATGATTCATTTTCGTTAAACACAACACATTTTTGAAACTTGAAAAAAAATTGAAACATTTTCTTATATTATATGAGAAAGTATGTGCTGTTATAACACCACTAAATGCATTTGTGTAATGTATGGCGATTAAAAATCCTACAATGCTTTCAATTATGTAGAAATTAAATGTAAGGGAAAAGACCATACTGTACAGCATTGGAGAATCAGCTTGCATTTAATGAAAAGCAGAAAGGTAGCTACTGCGATTCAGAATTTTTTGCCCGTAATGCCCAACAACGATAGAATGGATGTCTATGACGATAGAAAAGATGTATACTTTACATGAAGTCTTTACATTTTCAAAATTTTCTCAAAAAATGGTTCCGTTTCCCATGCTTAAATATGGCGAAAGCCGCGTTTTCATTGAGCTTTCTGAATTTTAGAAAATTGCAAAATTTCACAATTATTGGGTGCCTTTGTACTTCTGTAATATTAAAGGTAGAGAGTTTTGTTGTAATGAAATCAGTTCTTCAAAGACGCTATTTAAATAACGCCAGGTACAATTTTTTTGGCGATATGAGTAGTTTTCGCGTAATTTTGCGGAAAATGTAGGACATAAAAATGAACAATTTCACGGCTTCATATTTTCTCTTCAATTTTTTCTCGGATAGAGCAAAGCATGGCTATAAAAATGACTGCCGGCCAATTTTTGGTGAACATTGCAAAAAAGTTAATATTAAAAAACGACCAAATTGATGTTGTCAATGTTTTATTTAAAGAAATTGTTCTGCAAAATTAGATCTTTAAATAAAGTTATACATATTTTTGAAAATATGAGTAGTTTCGTGTAATTTTTTCAAAATTGTATATTCGAATTTCGCGCGGTTATTTCGTTGTCGAGTTTTTCGCGAGATATCAGGTCGCAATACTACAGAGGCAACTCCGCGACACTGCAGTTTGAAATTCTCAAATGAGTACTGCTAGTAATTTTAGATACTGCACCATAATTTTTCCCCACTTTTATAATGCCCAGATCAGTTTGTCATGCAAAGATATCATGCATTCCTAACTGCATTTTAGCAATTTTTTTCAGTGTCTTCGAATTTTTGTACATTAAAAAAATTGGCTTATTTTTCGCATTTTATTCGTAGAATAATTAAATATGTTGAAATTATGGGATTTCCTCGTCCACCTTCCCTATTTCTCACTAAATAGGGCACTTGGATAAAGATTTCAGCATAGATTTACATATTCGTTCATGGCTTCAGTGTCCAATAGAAACCATTTTAAGGTCTCTCTTTGATTTCTTAGAATCTATACCAACGGATTCTTCAGCTTACAAAAAGCCAGAAATGAAGTAGGAGAAGAAGAGCTGCAAGATTAACATTTTGTGTCAGACCAATACACAACATTATTGAGAGGTGAAGTTTTTATTCGAGCAGTCATTTTCTTAAGCAATGTTTACCTCTAAATAATTTTGTGTATTGGTCTGTCAAAAACATTCCAGTGGCAAAATATCTTCTCATGTAGTGAATTAACTTTGTGACAGACAGTAATGTCTGTTATGAGTAAGTATTCACTTTGTGATTAGAGATATATCCTCACAAAAAAAACATTGAAATGTTATTTGTTTCAATGCTTTAAGGACTTGTGACTCATACCAATGTATTCTGGAACTTGTTTAAGGCAAACTGTTTAATACATAATTGAATTTTGTGTTCTTATGTGTTATATAAATGGTTTTGATACATTTTGAATATTTACTTGCATTTATTTTCCCAAAATGTTATTCCTAAAACTCTTAGCTTTAGTAATGAGTTTTACTAGTGGTGGGCGAGGTGTGTTAATATATATATTGCAATATTATAATGTTACACAACCGATAGTAGTGTGAGAAAGTACATGCTGTTGTAGCACTTATAGTTTTAAATTTTAAACCAGGCACAAATGTGTATCCAATGGAATAGCATAAATTAATGTTTGGATATGAACAAATGAAAAATTTAATACTTTGTTAATGAAGTAATGTATTATAGAATTTATTAAATTAAGAAAATCAGAATTTAAAAAAATTAGAAATCAAGGCAGTTAATTATGAAATTTCTTTGAATTATGAGACTTCTTTTGAATTAGCCTTTTTTTAAAAAAACAATTATTTATGAATGGTATTTAACTCTTTGGAAATGTAGTAATTTATTTCATAGGAAGTGGTTTTTGTAATTCAAATCTTTATTTTATTAATTTGTTGCAGAATGTCGAACTGGCGATGTGCAAGTTACACAAGGTTATAACTTGGCAGCAAGATATGTGATTCATACAGTGGGGCCCAAATATAATATCAAATACCAAACTGCAGCTGAAAGTACTTTACACTTCTGTTACAGGTAAACAGTTCTGTTCGCAAGCATGTAATAATTGCAGGTCTAAGTGTATTTCTGAGCATGAATTATGTAATTATTTTCTAATTGTAATACAAGTTAACTTCTTTAGGCTGAAAAAAGGAGATAAGAAATGCTTTGGATAATGTGTCAAATTGTTTGCTGATAAAATAAAATTGCGAAAATGACGAAAGAAAGAAAATTGCGAAAGTAAAAAGTTCTTAAAATAATAGTGTTGATTTTAGAACATTTCTTATTTGTTCAAAAATGTAAGGTAATTGTACATTGTTAAAGAAACATATTACTCTCATATATTTAACGAGGCATTTGGCGTCATGTTTCAGAAATGTGCTGCAGAGAGCATGTGAATTAAATTTATCATCAGTTGCTCTTTGTGTTATTAACTCTGTAAGACGGAATTTTCCCCCGGATGAAGGAGCCCATATAGCCATAAGTAAGTATTTCTAATTTTCCTCTTGTTTTTTGTATTGTTATTGTTGTTATTCATGTAGTGAGGCCCTCAATAGGCGAGGCTGTGCTTAATAACTTTTAAAGTAGACCTGATGGATCAGCTCTCATGTTACGATATACCTTTATTTGCCCTTCTTTAATTTTAAATCATTTACATATTAGTATGCACTCTCTTGGAATCATTTCTTTCAAGGAGAAAATTTCCTAATATCACTCTGATCAAACCCTTTTATCATGAATTTTAATGTGTAATAGATCTTTTCATGTTTTCTTGTGAATTTTCATTTTCTCCTAAATTTTGTTTCCCTTATTTTTCTACTTCTGTCATTGTCTGTACCTATCCCCTTAAGAAATTGTCAGTTACTTCAATTTGATCATGGAGGATTATTTCTGTGTTCCTTTAATTGAACGGGTGAGCGAAAAAACCGTACTACTCCAGAAAGTTTATTTTGAGATAATTCAAGTTATAACTTTTGATTAGATGTAACAAAAAAAACGTTGAAATTTTATCAATTTTATTTTTTCAAAAATGTTATACCAAGCCATACGAATAAGTTCTGAAGAATAATTGCAATAAAAACATTATTAATAATGTGTTATAATTTAAACAAAACCTGTGAATTTGTACTGTTTCTTTCCTTACCAACGAAGTTTCTTGCAAAATAACTATGTACCACAAAAATACCACATTTTATTGTTGTAAATGTGCACACAAGGAATATAAAACACAGTTTGTGTGGCTTCTGTTTTGATACAGACACGAGTCTGAGAAAAGGTGCATTTCATTGATGGAATCAGGGATATTGGTTTCGATGCATTCGTTAACAAAAGCACCTACCTCATTCAGAGCTTTGAAAGCTTGCTCTTCATGGTATGTGTAGGAATGATCTGTATTATCTTTGAGGTTGTTAATTCCAAAAATATTAACCTGCATTTACCAATAATAAAACATGTCTTGCACTGGTATTTGTGGAACTGGTTAATTCTGTACGAAGCTGAAGCAGATTGCTGAATCAGTGAGCTCTTTTGCACACAATTGTGTGGCATCTTGTATTTTTTTAAACAAAATTTATTTGCATACTTTTTGGGAATCAGCAACAGCAACTCTTCTTGTAATATCATTGAGGTTTGCATCTTTAAGTTTTGCTTCTAAAGTTTCACTCTCTATACAAACATCTACTTTTGGCCATCCAAATTTCAAGTAGAAATTTTCATTGAATAACAGGCTAATGTTTTATAACCAAGGCTTGGATTCTGATGACATGTCATCTTTTTATTGGTGCATTTTAGATATAGCTAACTTGTAAAAGAATGTTTACGAGGACATATAGGTGATAGAAATGTATAGTTATTTTGTCATGTTTTGCCATTTTTCAATTTTTAGGTCATTTTTCTGGACCTTTACAGAATTTTTGTTGTTTTTAAGCATTTGTTTCTTTTTTGTGCTTTTTGTTAGTGAATGTTTCATGAATATACAATGACTCACTAAAACGAAGTTTTTATTGTATTTTAAGTTCACGGCAACTACTGCAGTGGACTCTGTTTTTTGAACTCTCAAAATTATACGGATTTTTGGTAACTTCCTCGACCTTTCAAAACTGTCAGTTGGAAGTTCAGAGTTAAGGATTAATTTTCTCCCTAAAATAATGACTTAATATTAAATATATTTTTTTTTTATAAATACATTTTATTTAACATTACAAAATTCATTGGATATTCAAACATATTCATAAACATTTTTGAGTCTTTTTCAAAAATTGGGTCATTGTCCCTTATTTTTAAGTCTCTTTATAGGTCATTTTCAAACAATTTTTAGGTTATCAGAATCTGAGCCCTGATTATAACCTTTTTCTTTTCAAGATATTTTTATGTGTTCAATTTTCATTAAATATGTCAGCTTAGGTGGCTCACTGCATCAATTGCAATACCTCTGACTGAGCAGTCCTTGGTTTGAGTCCCAAGGATGGCAGGATTTTCTACTCTGGCTACATAGCTAGGTGAAATTAAGTTGCTATTTGGAGGAGAATTGAAGCAGCCAGCTGTTCTGATTGGTAGCTTTCCGTGTTTTTTCTGATCAGCACTAGGTGAATGTCAGAGTAGTACTCTAACAAACATGCCACAAACCACATGCAATCTTTTCTTTCTCTTCCTGAACCTATCCTCACCCCTTTACTTACACACACTTGCACTACATTACCACACATGCTGGTAGACCATTCTGGAGCTTAGAGCTTGTCTTAGCTCACTGGTGTGAAATATCTGGTTTGGGAAAACCCTGCAAGCCGACGGGGAGGTCAGCGCCAAATCTTTCTATCTAACTGGTAAAGATTACTGCCACTTCCCACAATAAAAACATCCTCTACACTTATGACCTTAGTCTGAATCACTAATCAATCAATCACTTGTTGGAAAGGATCCTGTGTGTTCTTTCATTCTAACAATGTTTTCTTGCTTGATAATTTGAGGTCCATTATTATGCTGTCCTCTGCCATCTTTTGGAGACAGACCTGACCAAAAAATTCATCAGATATTGAACCTCAATGTGTGATGTTTCATTTAAGCTTGTGTATGCTTTTTCACAACTTGATTGTGAACACATGTTTTCAACACAAAATAACAAAATTTGTTTGATTAATATTTCATATTACTAGCTCTTTGCTTTCTGTTCCCCTCAGCTCTTGTTCTTATGTGAAATCCTGAATTATATGTACTACATGTCCAGGCCAGATACTGTTCTTTCACTCATCAGAGAGAAGCTGCCTGCTTTTAAGTCAAATGACCTCTTATTGAACTATTTTCTGTCTTAACGTGTAGTTCCATGCCGTCTGCACTAATTTCTGTAAAATGGTCCTGTAGATTTTGTTTTTTAAGTTAATATTCTCTTACCATACATATTAACGTATAATGAAAAGTACCAATTGAACTGTCAAAAAATATATATGGAGGATGCCTAGACGGTGAAGTACCTACCTGACTTGCATTTAAGTGTAAGGAGAGGCAGAGGCAACCAAGACACACATGGAAACACCAGGAGCATCAAAATCCTTAATAGAATAATAATTGGAACATATTTCCTTGGCTAAACAAAATAAATGTTTGTATAATAGTGGCAATAATTAGGCCTTTTTATGCCCTAACTTTGATTGTTCAGTGTTCACACTATTCATTTTAAATGGTATGAGAACTATGTTATAAATTTTATGTCGGAACAATAAATTTAATTGATTTAAGTTTAATGAGTAATTGTAAAAAGACGGTATTAAGAATAATCATTTTTCTCTTTCCTTCTTCTTCTTCTTCTTCTTCTTCTTCTTCTTCTTCTTCTTCTTCTTCTTCTTCTTCTTCCTCTTCTTCTTCTTCTTCTTCTTCTTCTTCTTCGTCTTCCTCTTCTTCGTTTTCATCTTCTTCTTCTTCGTCTTCTTCTTCGTCTTTTTCTTCGTCTTCTTCTTCGTCGTCTTCTTCTTCGTCATCTTCTTCTTCTTCATCTTCGTCTTCTTCTTTGTCTTTTCTTCTCCTTCTTCTTCTTCTCCTTCTTCTCCTTCTCCTTCTTCTCCTTCTTCTTCTTCTTCTTCTTTGTTTTCTTTCTCTTCTTCCTCCTCCTCCTCTTCCTCTTCTTCTCCCTCTTTTTTTTAATATAGTAAAAAGTGTAACAAATATTCTGTATTAAAAATACTTAAAAAATCATTGCTTCTCTGTGCTATGTTACAGGAACAGTTCGACGGTTTCTTGAACAATACACAGGATTATTGGATATTGTAGTTTTTGCTGTAGAAGAGTCAGACAGAGGAATTTATGAACTACTATTACCTCTCTACTTTCCTCGAACTCAACAAGAAGAGGAAAATGCTGTTTGGCAACTACCATCTGACATTGGTGGACCAAATGGTGAACCTCTGCTTCCAGATAGACAGATTCGTATCATTGATAACCCTCAGCACTCCCTGGATGGTAAGTTTCATAAGGAATAAGCTGACTAGTGTAATATAATCATCATCATCAACTGCAGGTTGCTAAGCCTTATCCTGTTTTACAGTAGACTAGGAGGCTTACGACTCCAGATGTTCTTGATCTAGCCATTTCTTTTGTGGTCTTCCCACATCACTTCACCCTTTTTGTTTGTACTTCAACATTACTTTCGGGGATCTTTCTTATTTCATTCTATTCATGTGAGAGAGCCATTTTCTCTGTCCATCTGTTATTTCTTTTACTATATTTTTTGCCTTTACCCTGTTTCTGATGTCTTTACTCCTTTGCCTATCCTTTTGTGCAACTCGTGAATGGCAACATAGGAATCTCATTTCCATTGCCTCTAGCCTTTGGTGCTCACTACCTTTCATTGGCAAGACTTCCAAACCATGAGAGGATTGGTTTAGATATCATATTGTGGATTCTTTAGTTTGGTCTCTTTGGTCATATCTCTTCCAATGTGACTATAGATTAATCCATTCTTCCTGTTGTATTTCTGAAGTTTGTTTGCCATATCTTCTGATCTGTATTGATTGAGGTTGCCCAAATAATTGAATTTAGATACTTGTTCTATTATTTTCCCATGTACTATTACAATTTTTACCCTTCTCAATTATTTTCCTTGATATGCTGTTGCTTTTGTCTTGTTTGTGGAAGTTTCCATATTATGTCTCTGTGCTATTTTATACAGATCACATGCTGCAATTTGCAAGTCATCTTCTGATTTTATTATTATAAATATGTCACCTGCGTACAGGATTATTTGGATTTTCTGTTTTTTACTGATGGCTAATGTAATATAATGCAGGGTGCACCTTTGAATGTAGGAGAATTTGTTAGATTTATAGTCTTCTCTTACTTATATGCCTTATCGGTTCTGGGATGTTGCCTTTTTAGTTATATTTTATTAATTTCTGAATTAATACAAATTTTAAATTCAAGTGAAAATAAAAATGCATTAAGCATAATAGCATTCAATTTAAATACAAAAATCTTTAAAAGTTTTACTGTATTTCTGATTTTTCTTTGTGAGCTTGAATTATTATTCGTAGACCACATTTTAGGTTTTTTTCTTCTAGGAACCCCCACTCTGATACACCTAGAATCCTGAGAAACCTAGAATCTAGAAATCTGTGTAAAATATAATTGATTTATTTGATTCTTCTTCTTTGTCTCTTTATCTGCTACTTTTCCTCCTTTCTTCCTTTTCCTCCCCTCCATTTTCATCTCATTCCTGTCTCCTCCTTCTTCCCCTCCTCCTTATTCTTCCTCTCCTCCTATTTCTTCCCAGGCCTTTTCTTCTTTCTTCTTCTTTCATTACAGTTTTTGGCATCTATCCCTTCCCTGCTACCACCTTCCTAAAGGGTGTAGTCATTTGTATTGGTCATTATTGAAATCACTATCAAACTGCAGACTAGATTTGCTCTTCAGTTCTATGTGATCTAGTTTAGAAGCAATAGTAATTCTTCTGGAAAACACTTCAGCAGCTTATATTCTACTCCTGCCTTTGAAAGTCATAGTCATATTTCACTTTCACATAGTCTGTATTTCACTTTCATGCTGATATATATTTTGGGAAACTTTAATCTGTGTGTCTTTTCTAGTTTTATTCTTTGACATTCTTATTATAGTTACACACTTCAAATTAAACATTCCTATTTTGATTTCAATATTGAGTTTTTCATGATAAGATATTTTGAAGTCCAAGAAGTTAAATCATGGAACTTGCCTTTTTAATTTTTTCTTCCATTACAATCTTATATTGTGTCCACTTTTTACACAAAAATATGACTTCCTTTCATCTTTAAAAATAGACTGATTAAGTTATTTCACAGTTGAAATAAACCTCTTTGCTTCATCACATTTTTGCCTTTTTCAGGGATCTTTTTATCACTGGCTTATATTGACTCTTTAAAAATGCAATATTATGAAAGACATCCGACATATTAAAATAATTACTCTGCCATTGTTTCCACTGCTGGATAGCTTTGTCGAGTAAAAAGAAATTTGGGACAATATATGCAACCTTGTCTTATAATTGTGGTTTCATTGGAGATTTGATCTTTATTTATATTGCAAGATAGATAGGTCTTTTAGAACCTTTGTAATAAATCTAATTACTTTTATTAATTGCAGGGAAATACTTCTAGGTTTCATTATTTTCCTAATATCTCGTTTAACATTATCAGAAGCTTTCTTGTAGTCCTCAGATAAGAGTTGAAACTCTTTATTATGCTCTTAAGTTTTTCAATAATTTGTTTCATTGTGAACATATGGTCTGTGCATCTTTCCTAAATCCTGATTGCTCTTCAAGGAGAATACTATCCATTATTTTCTTAAAGGTATGAAGTGTTAGGTATGATTTGGGAATTATTTTTAATTATTAATTAAATAGACTTATTCCCTTTAGTTAGAACATGGCTTCTATTCTTGTTTGAATTTAAGTATAACAGTAGTGTACTTACAACTTGGAGGTATTGCTTTTTTAATGAGCATTGCCCGGTTCTATGTAGTTCTAAGAAGTGTCTTTTTCTTACAAATAGGATACACTTAATCAACTCAATTCACTCTATTTCTTCCAGTACTCTTCCTGCTCTTGCACTAACAAAGAGTTTCTTAAAGTTCAAGCCTGTCTATTTTATCTACATCAGCAAGAAAAGTATTACTTTCTCTAATCCAAATTCTTCTATCATTTGATGAATGTATTATGGCATGATTCTTTTTAAAAATTATACAGAATTAAAATGTTCAAATAGAAATACAAAAAAAATTAGAAATATAAAAAATGTATGAAATGTGTCAATATGGGTGGAATATGTAAAGGAATGTACTATAAAGTCAATATTTTCAAGCACTATTGAATATGAAACTGCAACACATTAAGAGCGTAAGCTTCTGCGGCCAGAGTCAGTATTTACTTGGCTGTCCGGGTGATGCCGTGACCATGGCGAAGGTGCCAATGTTTCGGTCGCCAGTCTGCCATTCTTCCTCAGGGCATAATGCATTTGCCATGGACGCGGCGTCACCCGGACAGCCAAGTAAATGCAACACATTAATTGAACTTGACAGTTAACATAAGATAACATAAGAGTATTTTTATACCCACTTATCTGGTTCCTGTACATTATCTAAAGAAAATGATTTCAGTACAAAATACTATATAGTGATGTATTTGGTATTTATTGACAAGGCATGAAACCTCTCTTGTTGAAAACTATGAACTCACAAAGAAATAAAATTCTCAAAGTCAATTCCCATTACCATTGCATAAATATTGCATTTAATTGATTAGGAAATTTATTGCAATTTGGACTTTTCTGTGTAATGAATACATTAATTGTTCTATATGTACAAAATTAACAAAATTTGGAAAAATTAGGCGATTAGAAAATGTAAAAAATATTTTTTGCTGCATCAATGTAAATGCTGCTAAATGAAACCACACAAAGAGATTTTCCAAAATGTAGCTGCACACTGCTCAAGAGCAACAAATAAAGTACTTTAATATAAATTAAATATTTTAACATATTTAATTGGTACACTCAGTATGAGATTTGGCAGAATGACACAATCGCATATTTTTTTTTTTTAGCCTCAATCAAAACTCTTTCATTGTTTGTAGATTTTCCAAAGTTCCTTAACATCTAATAAATCCATAAACACCTCTCATATGCCAGAGGCTGCATAGTTCTCTTTCGATTTCTGTACACATTGAAAATTAACAAATTAGGTATGGACTAAAAATTTTCAAAATATGGCGTAAAATATGAATTAAAAATTGAATAAAATTATTAAAATAATGTATTAATCAAATGTTTAAGTTTATTTATTTATTTACTTATTCACGCCAATCGGCTTTGTACATATAGGTAACAATTTATATACCACACTGCACAATTACATCCAATACACTATAACAATTTCTAAATAATGTTATGTAAATAGAGTAGGTAAATAACTCGATTTTAATATTAGAATAAGATTTAATTTTGTGGAAATAAGATTTCATCTTGTAATAAAATTGACTGTACATTATTGTGTTTCTGAAAGTTTCTGAAACCTTAATCCTTTTCTGATCAGGCCATTTACAAAGCTTTGGATCATCAAGCACTGCTTTTCCTACTTTAAATGTTGAAATGTGAAACATCCCTTTTTATCTCTTAATCTAGCTTGGATCTACTGGAGTGAAATCCCAACCTCCACTTGAAATTGCAATACTTGTAATCATTATATATACTTCTAAACTTAATACACATTTTAAATTGCAGTATTAGTTGAAAATAATGTTTCAGCAATAATTTTAAAGGACTGAAATGTGGAATGTAATCTAAATAAAATTTTGAAATGTGCATTGATATGTGATTTTTTCCTTAAAAATGTGAAAATACGTCTGTATCTTAAAATATAGGCAAATATGCATTATCATATAGGTTTAAAATCACTTAAAATCTTCAATTCATGAACATATGTAAATTAAAGTTTAAGTAAGTTGGTTTATGTACGTTAAAGTTACATATAATAATCTTTAAATTATTATATGTAATCCAAAATTAAGATATTTTTCCCAAAATTAAGATAATTTTCTTATGTTATGTACTGTTAATTTAACTTATTTCTTTCTGTCTCACTTGATTTTGTTATGTTCCTCATAACCTCTCCATCCTTTCATAAAGTCATTTGATACCATATTGAGATCAAAAGTTTTTATCAAGGTGCGTTTCTTTGTGCCTTGTGTACATTAGATTATGTAATTCATCTGTTAAAATCTGACTATCTGTCTATTGTTTAAAACATTATATTAATTATTTATTTTTGACATTATACCTGAGGATGGAAATAATTAATTTCCGAAACATTGCTGTTATTATGAATCACATGTAACATTGATATAAAGCATTAAAAAAATGTCTGTCTTTAAATTTTGGCCCAAATACAGTCATGCAATTATCTGACTTATAATAATTCAAGTTTGATCATAATTAATGAACAAACAGATATACAATTGCATACTAATCCTATCTCTGATTATGAGCTTACAAGTTTTATTTGATCACTATTAATGTATGTACACTCTATTTCAAAAACAAATCCCCAGCAAGTAAAGTAACTTACTATTTGATTTAGAAAGAACAGGATGGTCAAATTTACACTGAAATTAAGTCATTTGTAATAAATGTGTATTTACCGAAGTTTTTATCAAGAAATTAGAGGTTATTTACAACAACTTAATGCTAAATTATTTATTTTAAAAATATGTTAGGAGTAAAGAAACCAATATTTTAAAATGCTGATTCATTGCATTGTTTCCAATTTTTAACTTTAGGGAGGTCTAAACAAAAGGTAGCACAAAGAATGCAATCATTTAATTCAAATTCAATTCAAATTCAATTCAATTCAATGAACCCTTATTTTCCATGGCAAGGCTCAGGCCATGAGGCCTGCTGTTCTGCCCGACCAGGCAAATTTCACTATGCTCCTTTCACCATCTGGCAGAGAAAGGAAGTATCTCTTGGGCAATGAAACAGGCAATTTGAATTTTGCTACAGGCTTTATTAGGCATGAGGATCTTTTACATGCAGTCAATCTACAACATGGGAGAGCTAGCTTTACTTCCCCTCCACAGGAAGATCTGAAGGGTTTTTTCGCTCTTAAAAACCATGTTTTGGATTGGGTTTGAACAGGTGTACTAGGGTATAACAGTCCAATACACTAACTATTACACCACCAAATCCACAATGATTGGCTATTAGATTTTTTTAAATGCATTTGTTCAAAGAATATGTTTCAGAGGATTATAATCATGTTTGATAAATTAGAATGATATGCCGCATTAGGGTACTGAGTACCAGTAGTGTCCTTACTTAAGTTCATTTTTGTAGCTTTCTTAAAATTCTTGAATAGGCAATTTGCTTTCTGAATAGATCGCTTTCCTATAAATGCTCGATGATTACTTTGTTTATTTTTTTAATGATTAAATTTTGATTAAGTTGTAGATTACAATGAAATCGTGGAAGTTAAGAGAATTTGATGAATTATTATTTGTCATGAATATCATATCTTAGGGCAAGCAATATTTAAAAGATAGGTAGCAAAGTCAGGATTAACAGTATTTAAAATTCACACTAATACCCTGATATCTAACACCCCATAAACATACCTTGAAAACTTTTCGTTTTTAGAAGGTAAATGGTAACAATATATTTTTAACATTTCTATTTTTGACCAGGTAATTTCTGTTTTTGCTGACATGTTAATTACCTTAAATCATTGCAAGGTTTATTTTGATATTTGAACCTTTAAATTATTTCAAAGGTATTGTTTTAGAGTTGTTTTAGAATAGTACCCAATAGACAATCTTATTCTGGAGAAGTATCTGTGATTAAATAATAGTTGACTTTGTTGCATTTTTCATAATCAGTAATGTTTAAAATAAAAAAAAATTAATAAATGTTTAAATGACAAGTAACTTAACATAGATGGTACAAATCAATGTAACTTTTCCTTGAATCATGAATCACACATAATGAATCAGTTTAAAGGAAGAGACTTCCTTCTTATCTTTTGTGGGAAACCTGATAAAGGATTATCATATCTTATCTTTTCTTAGAGTAGTTTTGCCAAACATAAAACATTCCTTAGAAAATAATTGTAAGATGGCTTCTCCAGGGGACATACAAAAAAGTAATGGATTTTTGGAGAAACAATTTTCTTATTTTTGAAATGTGTTACTAATTTTGTATAAATTCTAGTCAATTATTAATCCTTTCATAATTTATGAACTTTCCACTCGTGCTTATCTCAAAATTTTGATTTTCAGATGAATCAGTGGATTTATCATCACAGTTAGAATCATCAGTCACCATAGGTGAGCATGCCTTCAGTCAAATGCAAGGTGATTTAGACCAGCAGCGACTTTTGGGTGAAAGGCCACATTTTGATCCACTTGATGAAATAATGCTGAAAGAAATGCAGAACAAAGAAAGGTAATGTATCTGATAATATTTTCATCATAATTTGTTTTAATCTTGTATGCAATTTCTGACCTGAAGATAAATTACATTATCATAATTCTCACTAAAGATCAAAAGTAAGAATTGTACATGCAACAAAGAAGAAATTTTGAACTTTTAAGTCATGAAGTAAAAAAATAGATACAGTTATTACAATTAAGGAAAAAAAAGTATGTACAGTTACTGAAAACATTGAATGTAAACTAATACAAGCTCTTCTGCATGTTTATCTCATAAATAAAATAAAATTAAACATTATTTAGGTTTTAAAATTTCTTTATTATTGTGTTTCATTAGTTAGTGCAAAAAGTTAAACAAGTGACTTTTGTATCTCTAATTTAACACTAATATTTTAAAGAAGAGGGTTTTTTCTCCGATGAAAAAATCATACATATCTGTTTAGAATTTTATTTTTCAGTGTGTGTGGATTCTCTAAATGTCAATTAGTTTGTTAATTATAGACATTTTTAATTATTTCTCCTTGACAGTGTTGTGTGTAAACAGCATATGTTAGAAATTACAAACATATGAAAATTAGAAATTTTCATATTATTTCATATATTTCATTAATAATTATAATTCATCATATTTCATATATTTTCATTAATTTATTTCATGATATTAATTATCTTACATAAGAATGCATCTCCAGCAGTGTTAGTAAGTTTTATATTCAAACAGTAGGTGTGTATATCTCAAGTTTTACAACTCATTACTTAACCTGACACTTCTGTATCCCTGTATGATAAGAAATTTCTTCTAGACATGCCTTATTTCAATGTCACTAGTGTAACTAACTGATTCATCTGATAAGTCAAAATCTTCTCAAGAAACACAAATCAATGGCATTTATAAACAGTAAATTAATGCTGAATTTAAGAGAAGTTGCTCATTGCAATGATTACTGTAATAATCAGTTTAAATATACTAGTAACAAAAAGTAGCAAACCCAATTTGATTTTTAAGAGTCAAAAGAAAAATCTCCCTAAGAAATAATTATTCAGTACATCTTTCAGCAAAATTTAAAAGATTCGGTTGTTTTTTTAACAAAATATCATATATTTCCTTTTGAAAAATACATTTTTATGTCTTTTATATTTATTGTGATCTGTTGTTTTTCTTATGTAGTGAAATCAGCAGTTATTTTATCAAGAAGTTGATGTTTAGTGTCATTGTAAAGCCACTTCATCCTTTGTTCCAAAGAATACACATTTCTATTGCAGTTGTAAATTATTCAAAGTGATTTATACTGTAAGATAGGAGAGAAGTTGTTTACTTCACTGTTTTCATCACACAAGTACTACAGGAACAGAGGATTTTGAACATGCGTAGTAAAATGTTGTGTCAGTTTCATGCTTTTATTCTTTAACTTATTAGATGATTTGTTTATTTGCTTAAATAATTATTCATTTGAATCCTATTGGATTAAAAATGCATTCAATTGAAATTCATTAATTAATGTTTCTTGGCATTGATATTACAGTATTTATTCCACTTTCCAACTATTGTTTCAATAAAGCATCTTGGTTTATTGGAAATAAATGAGTGTGCTTTTAAATTAATAATGATTTAAGAATTCATTTAAAATGACTCATTACTTCTTTCATTAGTAAGCCTCTTTCTAAATTGAATTCTGCATTATAATTTTTAACTTATGAAAATGAAATATATCCCTGAAAAAATGTTGCTTTTATATGTGTTGCTTGATCAATTGGAATATTGTACAACCTATCCATAAATAAATAATTACAATATGCTTATGAAATATGATTAAGTATTTACTTAGTAAATGACAAATTGAAATAAAAGCACTATGAAATTCTTTCAATTGTCAACAACATTGCTGTGAGCTTTATTTATAAACATTGCAAGTTCTGTCATTATGACTGCCCCACCAACTATGAGTCACATGCTCCCCTCCACATGGGTCTCCCACTCCTGTCATACTCTGTGAGCTACCAAGCACATCCTGAAGTGCCCTTGGAAGCCTGTGTCAAACAGCTCTGGCAAGTTCTTAAGCAGAATTACCTCACAAACGTGTGGGAATTGTTATTTTATTGCCTATCTCATCTTCTTATGGAACACCAGATCTGTTCAAAATGATGATAATTCAGGAAGACTTTGAGGAGGAAGCAGAAAATGAGTGAGTAAAAGTGAATTGAATTCTAGCTTTTGAGTATAAAACTTCCTCTTGAATACAAATCATCTGTAATCCAACATTTCACAGCAGTTTGAAATATGTAACTTGAAAGAACTTCTCTCATAACCAATAAATAGATATCAGAGGATATGTTTATTAGTTCTTAGTTATTAATTTAATGAAAACAGATGAGGCTACTTTAATATGCTTTTTTGAGGAAGAAATATTCATTTTGTTATTAGTTTCCCTAAAAGAAGAAATTGCTTAACTTTGACATGGGGTAATGAAGTGGCATCATTGATTAAATTTAGTTTTCAGGACTGTTATATTATTATTAATAAATTGTTCTTTTGCAAGAAAACCAAATTCATGGACAAGTTTATTTTTAGATCTCTCACTGTTGGTTACCTTTGCCTGTCCAGTAGTGTGAACTTGAGTGGGAGGGACCTGGATGGGTGTTATGCAATCATATTGATTTTGTTTCCAAGACTGGGAATCTGCCAGTGTGTGAACTCCTCTTCTCAGTGGTGAGATCAAGAGGCATCTCTGTAGCTTTGCACACTTTCAAAAGTTGTTTCTTGGTGTTGAGTCATATTTTTATGATATTTCTTCCATTTCATTAAATTTTGAAGTAAGATTTATTAATGCATGTATATATAGATTCACTTTTTAAGAAGTGCTGTAATAATATGTTTAAGAATCAATGATGACCTTCAGTTCTTGTTCAATATAGGGCATTTGTCATATTTTAAACTTTATCTTCATATTTCAAGCATATATTCTATATTGAATCTTAATATACTTGATACATCATAATGCACAAAGTATTTCATTTGGGTATCTTGTAGACATTTTCTGTGAATTTGCAAGCTAGCTCTGCATTATATAATGTGAACTTCTTCCCCCTCCCACTTTGCCTTGTTCCCTCACCTCTTGGGTTCAGAAACCTGTTTGGATGACCTTGTTTCTTGCTACTGCCTATCACAGAGCAGATGCTGGTGAACTTATAGCCAGTTGACAAGGCACATAATTTGAAGTAGGTCGCACTACTCCTGCAGCTGCTGCTGCCGCATGGTTTAGTGCAGTGTGAGATTTCTCTTGAGATGGTGCTTGATACTTTAGCTGTTCAGACTGCTGAGTACCCAGGGGCCTATGTCAATCCTCTGGTGCCCCAGCATTTCTTTGGATATTCCATTACCAGGTAGACACTGTTTTTCTGTCCCAATACATATGACAATTTTCGTGAATTGTGATTGATGACCTTGTAGACTTCTCCTCAAAATATGCCTCTGATTTACTGCCATTGTGTCAAGGTTATGCATTTAATTTGGTTATTTCAAATGTACCTTTGTTTTCTTTCCAAGAAGTTTCTTGAAGAATTTTCTTCACATAAACATATCCAAAAATGTTTTTATGTTACAGGTATGAACGTTTATTAAGACGAGCAAAAACAGAAGACTTATCAGAAGTGTCAGGTATTGGTTGTCTGTACCAAAGTGGAGTTGATCGTTTTGGTCGACCTGTTATTGTGTTTGTTGGAAAATGGTTTCGCTTCAGGGAAATCAATTTAGATAAGGTAAAGATATTATTCAGATTTTTCATACTTTAATTTATAACATTTAGATTTTCTAGGCAAGTTTTTATGCTTTCAAAATTGGTTTCACTGCCTTTTAAACTTAAAAAATTATTATAATTTAATTATCTTAAATACTTCTTCATATTTTATGTGTTTTTTGTAGCAGAAATTGTAACATTATCAACTTCATTTTCATAACTGTATTTTTTGTTCAGTAGGTTATTTCAATGTGGGAAAAGTTAATAATTAAATTATCCAGTATTATAAAATTACTGTGTATTTTAATTCATACTTTTGCATAATTTATTTTATTTTCATTATTTATTGTGTGACTTCAAAACATTGAAGAGGATCCAAACAAGCAAAAATTGTGTGTTTTTTTAGCATAGGTGCCTTTCATTGAAGCATAATTAAGTGAATATTATAAAGGTCTATCTGTATTTTATTTTCATTATAGTTTTTATTTCATTATAATTTTATGTGAGCAAGTAAACTGAAGCACAAAACATCATTAAAACTTTTATTTAAAAAAATATGTTCTGAATGAAAATGTATCACTTAAGAATCAATGAAATCTTTATTTTCTTATAAACCTCTCTCTCTTTGTCTTTTATAATGTGCGAATCTGTGTCATTCAATTTCATAATTTTTTTCAGGCTCTTTTGTATTTGATTTATTTACTGGATCCTTTGGTTAAAGGAGATTATGTAATTGCTTACTTCCATACACTAACATCAAATCCCAATCACCCATCACTTACATGGTTGCGAGAAGTTTATAATATTTTGCCATATAAGTAAGTATTTTCAAACTTTCAGTTCATGAGTAGTTAAATTCACAAATAAACAATTTCTTAATATATAATTTTATTGATGCTGAATTAACATTTTCTTGTAATTCTAATGAGAACCATATCTTTAATTTGTTAGGTACAAAAAGAATTTGAAGGCATTTTATATAGTTCACCCGACATTCTGGACAAAGGTAAGGTTTTCATAATGTTATCAATTTTTTTCTTAAAAACCTCTAGAAAGTAGGATAAAATTTAAACAATTTTTCCATTGTATATCACTCTTGAAGCACTCTTCAATGAAATATTTTGTTCTGGGAGACTGCTTGTAAAAATGAACACCATTTGGTTGAATATCAGGTCATTGTAGTAGGTTCTTATTCTTTTCATAACAGAAAATTTTCTGTACAGATGATGACATGGTGGTTTACAACATTTATGGCTCCTGCAATCAAGCAAAAGGTTCACAATTTACCAGGTGTTGAATATTTATATTCTGTTATCTCACCTGATCAATTGGAAATTCCAGCATACATCACTGAATATGATATGTCGGTGAGTATTGCTGAACAAGGATCAAAAAAAAGTTTATGGTCTCGTCCTGGCTCTGCCATTTCCTTTCGTCAGCAGAGTGCTTGATTATTCTCTGCCTTGCGGAAGCATGTTCGGAGTACAATTTTCAGAGATTCTCGAACTGATGTTCCTCATTCCTATTTATTTTGTTATCCCATTAGTTCTCACAGTCTATTGATGGGTATTGAAAATAACATTCTTGAGCTCTTCCTCATGTGGCAAGCATTAATACTTCTAAAATCTAATTTGTGAAGTGAATTTTGCACCTGTGGAATTTGTTGTAAGCAATGCCTTGTGGGTGATAAAATTGTTGTGCTTTTGTGTAATGTGAATATTTTTTTATGTTATTTGTGTAAACTTATTTGTTTGTGAAAGGATAGATAAGAGAATATTTCTTTATATCAGTTTTATTCAGCAATAGCAGCTCAAGTTTGTGTATTTTAAATGTAGAATGCAAGTGGAACTTATTATATGTGGACATTAGCATGTGAATAATTTAAAGAGATCCCTTGGAATGCATATTACTTTCAGTCTCTGTCAACTTGTACAAATCAATGCCTTCTTAGATGTAGTGTGTTTCAAGAAAGTAGTCTTGACTGGACAAAATTGTGAAGTTTTCTTGTGGAAAGATATCAATGTTACCAGGCAATCTATATGTGATGTACAGTGCCATACAATCTGTTCAGCAATGTTTTTAGCTTTCACTAACCATTGTGATGGATGTGTCCATGTATGCGTGTGAGATGTGGCATAAATTTATTACCTGCTATATGATTTTTCCACTTGGAAAAACTGAAGTGGAAAATATTTCCTACAATGTGTCTCTTAACTAAATTTTCCAAGTGTAAATTGTTCCTTTATGGAAATAATTTTGCATTTATAAGAATTGTTCACATATACATTATTATTCTGTAATATAAATCTGGAAAATGTTTTTAGTGTGAACTTCTGCGTTAATAAGGAGATAATGAGAGCAAAAATAACTTTTCATGCTGTTTTTATGAATATGAACTGCATTTAAATTCTATCACTTACTGTTTTTTATTTTCATTGAGGAAATTTGTGATACCATTCATTATAGTTAATGAAGTTCCAATGAAACCCAGGAAAAATTACAGATTTATTCTAATTTTCCTCTTCTTCTGATCATTAGATAGAATTGGGAGTTACTGTATGTCTTGTTCCTTATTGCTAAGTTCTATTTCAGTAGTTACAAAATACCTAAATCTTTACATGAAGAGGAAAATCTCTTTGTCTTCTAACATCCTCCCACTTCCAGATCTGCAGTGTAGAGAAAGTACCATTTCCCAAAAAGACAAGACCCATTTTTCATTACGATGTCCATGTAAAAATTCGCTGAACAGAACAAAAGAACACCAAGCATCATGAATGTTTTGCTTTTATTACACTATGAGATCACTAAGCATATAAATGTTAGAAGTAGCATGTTGTTGTAAGTAAGTGTTACATTGTATCCAAAGATGGTATTTCTGAAAGTCATAAATTCAAGCAATAATCTTCATAAATACTGAAAATGAAAAATGCTAATAATATAACATGATACAGATTAACTGTTTTTATTGAAATTAATACAGAAATTCAATAGTTTGAAATGTATAATAAAATTGTTTTGTAATTACGGTACTTCATAATATAATCTCATAATTACTCAGGTTATTATAACTAATGATCATTACTTGCATAGTCATTGTTTGTAGAAACTGTGCCTACATTGTGCTAAATGACATTCTAAACTTCGCCTTTGTGTCATGTAATTGTTGCTAAACACACTATAATTAACCAAAACTTAGTGTTTACATTTGTGGTGAGGGGAACATGTTAATATAACTGAATAACTTCTCAGTAAGCCCAGTTGCCTTTCTCTAAACCTGGTATTCTGTCATAAAAACTTATCTTGTATAAAAATTCCTTCCTTCAAAACCTTCAAAATTAGGATTCTGCCAGTATAATAACAAAAATAACAATTTCTATTGAGCTTTACAAATATTTTCTTTATTCACTCATTTTTTTAATTTTTTCTCTTACACTTATTTATTCCTTTTGTTTTATGTATCTTTCCTTAGTGTTTAGTATTTGAAATTCAGTTTATTGTTGATTATCAATGTATACTTATTGGCAACTTTTACATGCATACAAAATATATTATTTTAAATTCACCTGCTGTAAACTGTATCTTGTTTTTGATCAAAAAATGGAATGCTAAGGAATACTTTGTTATTATTGATATTATTAACTTTACTGAGGTATCAAGAGAGATTTTTCTTATTTATTTGTATCTGTCATATGGAAAGCAATCTATTTTGTTAAAGTTGCCTTTTTATTTTTTTGTTCTTTTGCCTATTTATTTTTTATTGTATTGTGTTTTTCATATGTTTCATTTGTTAATCAATGTCCTTACAATCTTATTACAGATAAATGGTCTGCGCTACTTTCAGCCAGAAACTCCAACTTAAAAATCCCAACACGTTTGCTGAACCTTTCATTAGGTGATACTCCTTTATAAAAATGCTGCCACAGAAGAAAGTTTGTTTGTTTTTTATTGGCAGACAGTTACACACTGAAATGCTAAAATCTCCTTGCAGCATTCAGAAATAATGAAGTTTCACCCACAGCTGGGTATCAGATTTCAGTTAGTACTACTTAATCAGACTGACAGCCAAGCCAGTTTTGGGTGTTAAAATGTTTTTGAAGGAACACAATCTTTCTTGCAGAAAATATACAATAAGTTAGATACCCTGTTCATAAAATAGTGAGAAATTGAAGTATAAATACCTGCAAAAACTGCCATGACTTGTAATACAGTTTTACACGTCAGATTTCACAGAATGTAGATGATGTAGTGAACTTGATTAAAAAAGGACTTGCAGAAAAACCATGTTTGGTTTCTAAGTGTGATAACTTATGCTATCAAATGTCGATGTACAATAATAGTGTATTTATGATTTATTTTATCAACTCATTGATACTGTATATAATTTATTATAAATAAACTTTTGTAAAATAACAAATATTTAGTGCTAAGACACTTGAATGATTTTGTTGAATGTGGGATTGTGCCATGAATTGTTAATATCTTGAATGTAAATATAGAGCAGTGTGAGGGTCATGCCTTCCAGCAAATTATAATATATACTGATGCAATGGATCTGGGACAGGGTATTTAAACTGAATGGTAAATTGTAAATTTATTGTTTGAATGAAAAAGAATAAGAAATATGAAATGGAATCAAATGTATACCAGTTTACTCTCCATTAATAAAACAATTCTCCTCTACACCATTTTTGCTGTCTGGAATCTCAAAGAAGTTTTATAGTAGACAAAACTTAAATTATTTTACTGTTGCAAAATGTTAGTATTGTGGTGTGAAGTTAACTTTCACAATTAATACAATAACAAAATGATAAATAAATTTTATTACAATGTTATGATGTATAATATTATTTTATAATGGCACTGAACTCTTTATATAATATTAAATGAATCTTTGCAGAATGCAAATTTACTGTTTATTTTACATAAGGCCTCTTAATTCATGTCATAAAAAGAAAAAAATATATTGGAACCTTTATATTTATATTCCAAATAATGTGTGAAAGGCTTCATATGAGAAAACCAAATGTTTGTATATTCTTTTATATTTTGTGAAGCAAAGAGCGTGGAATGAATGTAGATGTTGAGTTTAGAAATCGATATTTGATGTATTCTCACCGTTACACTTACAGAAACAATTTGAAGATTGTTATACATCATGACTCTTACTGGCATAATTCATTTTTAAGAATATTGTTATTGTTAATGACTGGTCTTATTTATTGCTATTGAAAAATGTAAGTGTCTAAAGCTCTTAACAGTTGAACATAATTTAAAATTTATATTTCAAGTTTCAGACCGTATTGCCTAAAGTTCTATGTTATGAATGAAATTCTCATTAAGAAAAGACTGTTGTAAAATGTAAATAAGAATGAAACACAGCTGGTCAAGGTTTTATCCCTGCTGCTTGAATCAACAAGTCTGATCCTTCTTGTTGTGTTTGAAACTAAGAGATATGAAAAAAGAGTTTGATAGAGCTTAAATAGACCTTTTATTTTATACCATGTACCTGGAGATGCAATTTTATTATATAATGAAACAATAATTATTGGAAAGCTTTTGTATTAATAATTTTTGTCACTTTTACTACACATAGCAAGTAGCTCACTTGATGGCTACATGTTAATTGAGGAGCTGAATGTAATTATTGTTGCTGCCAGCTAACCGACAGGGGTTAGTGAATTGTTAACACATAGTATGTAGGAAGTTGTAAATGCAATATGTATCTGATAAATAAAGCACTTGTAAATTTTTCAGATCATTTCTTAGATTATTTGTGAAAGGATTGTTTTTAAATAAGTAATCCTCTTTCTCCCCACTTCACAATTCAACAATGTTTTTTCCAACTCATTAGCTTTTATTTTATTATTATTGATTACTACAATATAAATTTAGCCGTCTGTCTTGACAAAATATTCATCAGTTTTGAAGGAGAATATGTCAGATTAACACCAGATATTTTCCATGATTTTTGAAGGGATAAATACTAGATGATTAAAGGAATACTAAACTACATGATACATTTGTATGTAGGCATAATGTAGATAAGTATCTATACTGAATATTGGAACTCCACTTAAGTTACAGTCCTTATGGTACTTGTCTTACCCAATGTAGGTATAATATAGCATTTATCACTAGTTTGTTGTGCTGAGTATTTCATCTTTCATCTTTTACTTTGTTCCATTCAGTTTGGTGTTGGGTTGGGACTCTCTCCTCTCTTTGGGTTTGGGATGCAGCCCTGAGGCCCATCTAACTTGTGTAGCATTACATACTTAATGAGATAAACCATTTTAATTTTTCAAAAATTACACAAATTAAAGGTTTTTGAACTATCTCTCATGTCATTAATATTTACACTAGCAGCATACTTTTATGTTACTGTATTTATGAGAACCAGTGCTTCAAATTATTTGTTAAGAAGTTTCTCAAAAACTCAAAAGTTTTCTGTGAAAATGACCTCAAATTTATGCATTTTCAGAAACGCTCAAACAATTTTTTTTCTCAATAACAGCACCTAATTTTTTAATGAAAATATATTTTATTTTTCTATAATATTTTTAAATTCATATTTCAATTACCATTAGTTCTAAAAAATTGAGAAAATGTGAAAAAAAGTCTTCAAGGTGCTGGTAGGTAACAGCTGGGAAGAGGGTGGGGCAAAGAAGTTAGCCCAGATTAATGAGATTAGAAAACTAACAAGAAAGTCTATTTCATTTTGTAGCATATCTAGTTTTTTTTCATGGTAGAAGGGACTCCTAAGATATCTCACTGGTTACAGTTGCTAGTTATGAGTGAGAGTTTTTCTATAATGGGGAAAGATAATGGTTAATGATGAAACTCATGGTTGTTGGTTCTGTCTCACCGTGATACAATACCCAGGGCTGGAGAATAATACTACCTAGATCCAATGCACACTTATCATACCTGCAAGCTCTCGTGGCCCCCAGCGTACCATTATACAACACATGGGTAAATAATGATTTCTTCACAGGAGTCAAACCCATGGGACTGAGATTGGCACTGCACATCTCCTTTAGTGATCTCAGCTGTCTGGGTTAAAAAAAAAGAAGTACTAACATTAATCTGTATATCTCTAGTGTTGTGTTTTTGATTCAATGTATTTAGTTTTTAAGACTTAGGTTTTGAATTTATCTATTTTTATAAATCATAACATTTTTAATGCTTTATTCACTGTATTTTCAATCAGGGTTGAATTTCTTTAATTTATTTTAATGAAATTACCATGTAAACTACAGCATGGCAGAGATACCAGTTACAGAGAAAGCATGCTTAGAACATGAGCAATTTTTTTACACATTTCTTCACACTGGAGATTTAATAGAGGTTGTTAAAATTAGTTCCTTGCCAGAATTTGATGAGGTCTTCAATGAGGGTTCAAATCTCAAAAACTAGTTGTTTGGTGCAATGATTCCTGCAGTTAAAGATTGCGAAGACCCAACAAGATGTCAGCCTTAGGTCTGGTTTCATATCTTATGTATCACAAGCATCAATGACCAACACACACGTAAAATTGAAAGTGCTAATTTTATCACAATCAGGCATATTTACTAACAGTTAATATGTTAATAATTATAAATTGGTAGCAAGAAAATAATTATAAATAGTTAGCATATTAATAATTATTAATAGGGCAGATTTTTTTTTAACCAAGAAGAATATGGCTTCCAATTGCTTTCTGAGTTGAACACTTCTGTTGACAGATTCTTGGTCAGTTCATGAGCATTCTTGAAGAATGGCTTTCAGAAGCTGCTCCATAGAAATCTCCTACTGCAAACTAAACCTTTTTCTCCAATTAATAGACAGTCTGAGAATCTTGTCTCCTCGAAAAAGTGGAATTTTGATGTTTTCTTCATCTCCCTTCGGCATTAGATTTGCTCAACCATTGTGACTCCTTGGACACACTGATTTTTTTAACTGCTGATGCTCCTTTTTCCTCTAGTTGTGTAGAAGAGATTTTGTTTATGAAATATATTTCCCAGTTTGGTTATGGTGTCTTTCTATTTATTTCAATATTCTTTTATTTTAATTTTGTTCAATTTGTATAAATCTTTCAGTTGTTTTTGATGTCAACAACTAAAATCTGGTTACATGAAAAGATTTAATACATTTTTTTATATATTAATATGAGCAAGCTGCTGTTTCCACTCCTTTATAACATTGTCAAGATCTCTATTAAAAAGTATCAGTGAAATTCAACACCTTTGTCTGATCCATTGTTAATAGTTTGATTATTTATATTTGGTTATAAAAGTAATAAATTTTTAAGGTTCAGAAATTTTAGCTATAATATGTGTAATTGATTGCAACCTATTAACATACTATATAAATTCATATTTGACTGAAAGAATTTTCAAAAGAAAGTTATGATTGAGCTGATTGTAAACCTCAGAAAAATACCAAAACCACCACCCTAAAAATGCAACATATTTGTGTTAGTTCTACGTTTGGCAGAATAACCAAGTAAAAATGGCATTCTCTTCAACTTAAGGGGAATGTTCAACATACTGCTAGAACATTGTCATTGTCAGTCATTAAGTAGAGTTTGATTTTTTTAGGAAATTGATTAAACAAAATGTGTGTATGTGGACATAAATATTTTGGGGAGCACTTGAGGTCAAAAATTCATAAACCTTTAGATATTAACTCTCTATCTATAGATTATGGCTCTGAAAACCTTTGTAATTACATACATACTCAATTGGCATTGCATGCAATTGTGATGTAAATTCAGTTTCAAATCAGATATATTAACAGATGAAACTCATGAACGTGCAACTGAGAAAGGTTCACTGTGGAGCAACCAGGATTTTTTTGTACAGAGGCTGTAGGTGTAGTGTCCAGCCAATGTAATATTTTCTTGCTTTGAATTATTTATTTATCCCGAATTTAAAATGAATTTTTATTTGTTAATTTACAATTATTTACAACTTATTGAATTGAGGTATTGAATGCCTTTCATTACTTTAGAAAATAAGTAAAAACTATATTTGTCAGCAGCTTTGAGATGGAAAGGGTAAAGCCCCATGACCTCTCATCTGTTTTTGCCACTTACTGTGATTCATACTGTTACATTTCATAAAAATCAAACTGAAACATACTAGTCTATTACATATTCAAGACTGTAATTAGCAATGTTTTAGATAAATGTATTGTATTCTATTCTCCTCCAAGTGTTCACCTCAGTTTTTCCTACCTATAAAGAAGCAGTTATTGCTGTCCTGACACTTGGTATATTCTAATTTCACATATTCCTTATCTACCCCAAGAGCTGATGGGCCAGTTGAGCAGCTCAGAAATCATTGTAACCTAACTCCATGGCAATACCTTCCCATAACATTTCCTTTCCAGTATAACAACTTATTGAAGTGGACAACTACTTTCTTCACCTTTTGGTAAGACCATCCTACAATGTATATATTCTTGTATTTACCCTTGGGTCCAATGTGTTGATCAAGCAACTCAGAGGCTCCCAATACTAAGAATGAAAGAAAGAAAGGAAAGAAGAAAGAAAAGAAAATAGAAATTAAGTGAGAATGCGTTACAAATTTTTTTAAAATAATTGATCTGCAAAAAGGACAAATATTTTTTTTTGATCATGTTTTCATTGTCATAAACTTTTATAATAAGCATTAATCAAATTGATACTTAATAGTCATAAGCACTAAAGACAAATCAAAAATGAAAATTGATTATTATTAATTATCTGCCAAAGAGTTACATAACTGATTTAATTCAACATACTGATGAATCTGACACTCCCACCCATTTTTCAGCTGTTGAAACTGACACTTCATTGCTTAATGGTTAAACTTGATAATTTGGAGAAAAGAAAAAGAAAGAAAGAAAAATTATAGAGAAATATATTGTCACAGAAATATAAAGGATGAACAGTGATGCTAATTTTGCATCAACAAGTTACAATACATATTTTATTACATTTTTATAATTTATGGCCCTTTTTAATTTTGTGATCATAATTGTTGTCTATTTTTTAAGGAATTTAGCTTTGATACACTCTAATGCTCATCTCCTCCCCCATTTCCTCATTTGGATATAAAAAATAGGCACCTTCATTAAGAATAACAATTAGAGCCTATTTACTGAAACCACTCATGTGATGATACTTGGGGTTCTTATTGAAGGGAAACTAGAAATCCAAAATTCATAATAACATAACACAAAAAAAAAACAAAAAAAAACATAATTTACTAAAATATTACACATTACTGTACACACAAAAATATATTACAATTGCGAACGCATTCAAAGACTTAACTTCTTCTACTTTCAACTAAGGTAAACTATAGGTAGAATGTTAAAACTAACAGTAAACAAAATATTTAATTTTTAAACGATTCTGAATACAAACATTCAGGTATTTCAACATTAAGTGACACCAAATAATTAAAATTGAAGAGATTGTTAATTATTTATAAAGTGATGTGCAAAACAGAGTTGTTACTGGAATCACAATTACACATTTGTTCAATTAGGAGTAAGCTGGTTTATCGCAATTTCGTGACTCTTGAGAAATTCTCGAATATTTTTTTTAAACATTTATTTTGTAACACAATCAGCTATGGTTTTTGTTTTGTTTTCCCGCCAAATTTCTTGGTAGTCATTGAAAATACGTTGATAAGATGCTAATGATTATTGAATAAACAAATAAAATATTCGTTGAATGAAACGTAGTCTTAAGGATAAAAATGATAAATTGCAGGTACAAAAGACTTCGATGAAATAACTAATTTTCGTCAATTCTTATTAAAATTAATAAGTAATACAATATATGCCGATAAAAACTTCGCCGTTGTGTTCTTTTAAACCTATTTAAGATTTCAAATTTTAAATAAGATCACTTAATACTGTCAAACATTAATTGAAATATTACGTATAATATGAAAAGAATTCAGATTCTTCTTTACTTTGTATTGCGTAGTGTGGTACTTTTCGCGCCATTTTGTGTGTTTCGGTGAAAGAGTTCTAAATGTATTGGTGTATTGTCAACTTAAGACGTTTCATATAACATTGACAGTTTAAATTTTTGATGGTTCTTTTAGTTTTGCGTCGTGACAGGTGAATAAATTGGTAGATCGAAAGCAAGTGTGAGCAAAACACGCAAGGTAAAGTAAGATTTAATGAGATACTTATGCACTAGTAAGCTAGTGCTGGCTACATTCAGGAGTTCAGGTTATCATTAGTATTTGTAACAATTTTTAAAAATGTCCAAAAATTTTCGTTGCCATCATCCTTGCCATCATGTTTATGGGAGTGTTTCATGTTGTTTGCAGGAATGGCGGTTTCAAAGAAGTCGACGGATTACTACATAACCAATGCAAATGAAGCTCTCGAATTGAAATTGGGTTTGTACTAGAAATTAATTGTTATACAACTTGTTACTAGTGAAGATTGCACTGTGGGTAACGTTTGAACATGTTATGGATATCTATCTGGAAAATAATGCTCATTTTAGTTTGTTTTAACCCGTACAGTTCCACTGTTCCGACGTGATTTCTATTAGGAAATGATAAAACCGAAAGCATTAGTAATGTTTAATTGTAAATTTCCGAAAATTAATTTTGATGAAAGTAAATTCTCAATTTAACTTAACAATTCTCCTTTTGATCATTAATTTTCAAAATTGTAAGTAGATAAGATATTTTACTTTCTTAAGAAAGTGAACTTTCAGTAGGTGTTAAAATCACTATTCTATTCGTTTTTTTCTTTTTTCTTTTCTTTTCTTTTCTTTTTTTGATTGCAGAGAATTTGATATTGTAGTTGTTATGTTACTTTCTAAAATTCTTATTAATTTGTTTATTCTTTTAGTTTTACATATGGAGATCTTTTTATTTCAGTAAGGAAATCTGAAGATATTGAAGATGATAGCCTGGCATTTAATCCTGAAATGACCCATCAAGTATTTGGAGATAGGTAGGAATTAAGCCAGTTGTTTAGAACATCTTAATCTTTTGCACTACTAAAGATCTTAATATGCATTTTTGGAAATGCTTTTAATGTGTTTTTTCCCCCAGTGAAACAATTTTTGGATATAGAGATTTAAAAATAAAGTTGTATTACTCTGCTGCTGCCTTGACAACATACTTAGGAGTTTCTTATACTTCGAAAGCAGATGTTGATAAATTTGATGGTGTGGAGGTACAAACATACAATGTTTCATTGAATATTTCCTAGTAGAACTTACTTTTAAAAAAGTTTTATTTTTTAGGCTGATGATATTGAAGGTAATTTGTCAAAAGTTATTCAGCGTGGCTACTTAACAAATTTAGATGATTTTCGAAAGGCTGTATTGAAAGATAATAAGTTCGTACCGTTTGGAGAATTGTTACGCTCTTTTAATATTGAAGCTCGTAAGTATGAGAGGGTTTATGTCTGATAGTAATATTGTAAACAAAATTCTTAGAAATTTGTTATCAAAAATTTAAGGGAACTTGACATGACTATTTAATGTTTGTTAGAAGAAAATCAACCTTCAAAATCTTATGAAGTCTATCAGTGTGATGTCAAAGTGCCTGGATTTTACAAATTCCATGAGCGTCTTCAGACCTTTATTCTTTGGTACATAGATGCAGCCAGTTTTATTGATATAGATGATGATAAATGGAAATTCTTTGTTGTGTAAGTACAATTCCTTTCCAATGAATCTCTTTCACCTATGAAGAAGCAAGTGTGAGGCATTTTTTTTTTAATTTTTAGGTATGAAAAATACAAAGTAAATGGTGATACACTCTATGCTGTGGCAGGATATGCAACAGTGTATGAATATTACGCATATCCTAAAAATATTCGACCAAGAATTGGGCAAATTCTGGTCATGCCACCTTTTCAAAGGCAGGGTCTTGGTGTCCAGCTGCTGAGGGCAATTTATCAATATTATGTGCCTAATCCAGATGTAATAGATATAACAGGTAAAGTAATCCTGTTTATCTGATCTTCATGAGCATTCTCGAAAATTTGGTTCATTCTCAACAAGACTTCTTATCTAAAAAAGTTTGGCAGTTAGCGCTGCTCAAGTAAAGTCAACACCCATGGTGGAGGGGTCTTGATTTGAAAGGTCTTGAGAGGAAGCCTTCACTGGTCAGGGACCTGGCAGTTCTCAGGCATTTATGTATTATTTACATCTATTACATAGCTGGCTTTCCTATTGTTTTTCTGTGGGTGCAATTTTAAACAAATAATACTCTGACAAATATACATAATGCTAGGAAATAAGTAATGTATTCTTAAAATGCTGTTTCACTCTTGAGACAAGTGAAATAATTTTAAATTTCTTTTCTGATTGTATTGAAGTATTCATTGCTTTCCTTTGACTATTCAATGTGCACTGACACGTTCCTGTTTGCTACAAGCCAGCATAAGCATGAACTTTCACCTTCAAAAGGTGTGAAGTAATTAATCTCTATTCATATATTAACTTCTTTATTAAAAGAAGCTGTATCAAAGCAGCCTTGAAATTATTCATCTAGACTGCCCTGACTGAATGTGTTTAATTTCCACTTGTTGATAGTGCAGAATGCAATGTGGCATTGATTCTTTTCTCGAAAGTATTTGTGCCAAACTTGGGAGCAATTACTCTTGTGATTCAAAAGTTTGTATGGCACATGTAAATGCAGACATATTTTCAGTTTTTATAATGCTAATAAGCAAGGTTTTACTGATCTAAATAAAATAAAACTAATTAAATAATTTCAATGTTTTGTTAATGATTTCTGTTTTCAATATGTGATCAGTGAATACAGAAGCAGATTATTAGTCCTTGTTCAAGAAGCATTTACCACTATATTGTATATTCTCACCACTTGAAGATGTCAAGCATACTGCGTAGTGATCTTATTTAGTTTGCTAACAATTGAAATGATTAATTACAAAGCTGTTAACCCTTTGACTGCTCTGAATATTTTGACATGTGGAAGATTTCTGGGTCCAAGATCCTCGGTACGTGTTAGCTTGTTCAGTCAGGCTGTCGCTGGGAGAACAGAGAGACACAAGGCCATTCTTGTTCCTATAATGTCTTTTGTGGGAGTCATATGATTCCCAAGATTTTTGCAATGATCTTTTGTGGTTCAGCATATTAACTTGACATTTTTATGCCTGTCTGGTTTGCTGGTCTCCCATTTCTGAGTTAGTTCAGGGTTTGATCTACAATGTGAATGCTTACTGTCTGGTTCAGTGCCTTCTATGTAGAAATGGCTGAAGTTGGTTTCTTAAATTCTGTATGCATCGCTGGAAAGACTTCAAGGAGGGTTGGGAAGTCTCTTTCACCAGAGACTACCTCACAAAAAGAAATTTAAGGTTGCACTGACTTTCCTATCACTCTTTACTTTTCAATCCTGCAAAATGCTGGAGTGCTTGAAGTTCTATAGATCATGCATAACCTGTATTGTCCTTTGTTATGTGTCTATCAGTGGTTGAGTTCGAAGTTTTCTCTGCTTCTGCGTTCGGTAATGATTGGATTTGCTCCATAATCTCGAAGTTACTGCAGCCGACAATGCTGAGATCAGCAAGATCGGCAGGCTAAGTACATACTGCACATACCATGTGGCTCACTCTAGTCATGCCTGTAGCAGTCAAAGGGTTAAGCAGATTGAATTGTGCAGGTGAGTGAAGGGGTCAGTTGTAACCTATACTGTTTAGTTCTGTACTTGGATAGATTTTCTTAAATGTATTTTTGAATCAAATGCTTAGATAATTATGCATTCCACGCAAGAATGTATTGTGTAAATTGTGATCAGATGTTTTATCCTGAACTTGAAAATTGTGGGCTTGGCTCCAAAAGTAATTAGGTGTAAAAATGAGGGAGAAATGCATACAATTTTTTATGCAAATACTGCTTGTAAGATATGGAACATTGATCTAATTTAATAGAGATATCACAAGGACCCCCGTGCATAATAAGTGTGGTTTACTTATTTCCATGCAAGTGCTTATTGTAATTTTACGGCTAGTACTCGGGAGATGCGCATCCCTCCCATTCTTCTGTAAGCCTGGTTGGTACCCTCTCGTTTTTAGGAGTTGAATGTATTTAAACATTGAAATCTATAATAATGAGTGTTTTAAACTTTGCAGTGGAAAGCCCATCAGATGAGTTTCAGCGAGTGCGAGATTATGTGGACGTGAAGAATTTTGAAGATTTGGTGAAGGATAACCCTGAAGTTTTGGTAGATGGTTTCTCAAAGAAGCTTGAAAACCTTTTCAGTCCATTAAAACTAAGCAAGGTAAAAATACTTGCTAATTAGGGATGTGACATTGATGTAGATGTTTCTATAAAATCGTAATGTATATAATACAAATTTTTTGCAGCAGGTGTTAGTGTTGATGTTGTCGTTTGGTGCTTTTATGTGGTTGATATTTTTTAAATAATAATAATAATAATAATAATAATAATAATAATAATAATAATAATAATAATAATAGTAATAATAATAATAGTAATGGTAATGGTAATAGTAATAGTAATAGTACACAAAGTCTCATTACCAAATTAAAAATAACATTAAGATTACATTAACATAATTTAACAAGAATACATTACATTAGCAGATTAGGATACAGTAGTAAGTACTAGATTACAATTAATGAGTAATTGTACAGTAGTTGATTAATTACTCGTCAATAACATGACTACGTTAGATGTCGATAATAATTGCAAATTTACAATATCCTGACAAAATTACATTTTTACTATGTTACTAATTAGTAATTGCCTTATTGAAAGTTTAAAGCAATTCGTATATCTTATATCGACACACACTAATAAGGTGATGTTTAAGCAATGTATATCAGCTGATTTTATGGTACTGGGTTTATTATAAATCTGTGTAGCAATGTCGAAGGGATCTTTGTTAGTTGAAGACTTGCTAGTGTATATCCTATGATAGTCCCTATGCCCTCTAGTATGGTAGTTATGTACCTCTTTATTACTCACAAGATACTGATTCTGATTATTTCTCAAAAGTAGTTATACTTTGTAAAAGTGGTACAACAGTCAGTAATTCATATTTAGGAAAGAAATCTTTACAGGATTGTCTCCGATTCAGCTTGAAAATCTTCTGATACATTTCTTTTGTAGGACCATTAATCTATCTGTATTTTTTTATATCGTACCTCGCCATATTTCAATACCTTATTGAAATTGAGTAGAAGATTATCCCATAATAGACTGAAAGAAGTACATCTGTTTTCAGGTATCTGCAAAAGTATCTCAAGAGGAATATATCAGAGTTTATTTTAATACAAAGTGTGTGAACTTGTTTCAAGTTAGGGTTTGATCTATAAATAATTCCAAAAACTAATGGCCATCAGTTTGATTTACTGCTTCAAAATAAATCCTCTTCATGTGAGCTGCTACGGTTTTAAAAACATTGATGTTTTTGTTTTGATTCAAATTTTTTAAATTTGAAGCTTTGATGTTTTGTTGTCGATATTACATCTTTATTGCTAATAAGGAAACTAAAAGTTGATTAAAATCAAATCTATCAAAGTCAACTTGGCGTTTTATTTGATTTCAATAATTTTGGTCTGGTTTCATTGACAAAAATTAAAGCTTTATGTAGACATATCAATATTTGAATAATAGAGAAGAAAACAAACACAAGTTGGTGATGGGTAATAGAATTCTTTGCTCAGCAGTTTTGTGGTATTGTCCAGCTATTGAAAATTCTGCTGGGATCTACTGAAGTCCCTTACAATGCTGTGTGGCAGATTCTAATAGTAAAGCAGTGGAATATGTTGTGTTGGCTGTGGAGTAGACAGACAAGGGAGTCAGTGAAAACACATCAAATGCCTATGATAACAAATCAATTTGTGTGTGAACTGTAGAAAACAATGTGTAATCAGGCTCTGCAGCGTAATGAAGTTTATAATGTATATCTGCTTTATGTAATAAATAAAAAAAAAAACTGACAAGGTTCCAAAATGTGAAATTAGACATGCCTAAAATACAAATAAAAAATAATGTGAATTTGAAATAAATTGAGTAGTAAGTGCAGTTTAATGAAAGTGGGAGTCATTGCTCAAAAAATGTTTGTACAAAAAAATGTGAAGATGGCAAATATTGATTCTAACATTAATTTTGAAGATGAACCACTGTTGAACACAGGACACATAGGGAAGTGTTCATTGGTATAAATTTGTTTTGTCTCTTAGCACTGAATTAATGTTTCAGAAACAAATGCGACGTGTTTATGAAATTCTGAGACTACAGTATACTGATACAAAAAATGAAGCAGATTACAAACAGTACAGATTGGATGTCAAGAAGCGTTTAAATATTCCTTATCAGGTACGTATAAGCATGTATATATTCCGTATTAGGTATTGTGTGTTTTGCTGAGTGAACGAAGATGTGCATTAGTATACTGTGAAGTTTGGATAGGATAATGACTTGCATGTAAAACCTAGCAGACTCAAAGAATTGTGGTCTCATTTAGGGACAAAAACTAATTATTTTGTATTTGAAAATAAATATAAATTATTTAGAAATTATATTCATTTAAAAATGTAGTATAAAATTATCTAATATCAAAGTTTTTGTGATTAAATTCAACCTTGTATTTCAATTTATTAGTTCTTATTTGCGGCTGAGCAAAACTTTGTGGAGTGAATAGCTGTAGTGAAATGATTTTTCCAATCATGAAGCTGCAGAGGTTTTTGGGGGATGAAGCGGAGGGGAAAAATGTGAAAATGCTCTTGTGTGTGTGTGTTTTTTGTTGTTGTTGTTGTTGTTGTAAAATTAATTAAATATTTTAGTTTTGCAATAGTTGTGGGAAATTCCTATTTGATACGGAATGGGAATTTTTATAGCTTACCCTGATGTGTTGAAATTTTCGAAGGTTAGATTTTTTGACACCCTGTGGTTTGATTCCTTTGAAGTATTAGGTTAGATTGGTTTAATGTTGGGGTTGAAAATGAAAGAGTATTAACTTTCCTGTCTTTCTTTATTTATTAATTCTCTTTTTTTCTTTGGCATTTTCTTGCTCTCATTTGTTGGATTTTGTGAATGAGTGAAGAGTAATATAGTTGCTTACATCAACCACAATTTTTGTCAATAAGCTAAAAATTACAAATATTAATCCAAGTCTTTCATGGAGGCAGTTGGGAAAATAATTGAGTGTCTATTGTGGAATGGAAAATTTCTAAAAGAATTGCAAAACTTGTTATTTCTTTTGCATTACTTTTTCATCTTTTCTCCTAAGAATTTATTTTTTTCTTGTAACTTGTTGAGTTCTGATGTTGTGCTAAACTCATTATTAAGGTCAAGTATCAACTGTTGTTTTTTTTTTGTCACTGCCCAGCTCAGTGGGGCTCATTCCTATCTTTATATTTTAAGTACTGTACATTTCTGAATGGCCCAGGCTAGGCCAAGTATTAACTCTTCTGTGGGCACACCACAGCACTTGATATTGCACTTTTTCTTATGATCTGGTTTCATTACCTTACTCTAATAAGTGTCTTACTTATTCTGCTTCAAAATTATTTCACATTAGAGGCATTCTAAACAGTTTCTGTCAAGGTCATCTTACAAAGTTAAAAAGCAGCTTGACACCACTCCACATTGTTCATGTCTAGGAATGTATATTCATTTTTTTTTTTTTTTTTTTTTTCTTCATTTTTCTTTACCAATTTTTCCAGAGTCCAAGAAACATTTTTCTTGTACTATAAAAGATTGTTACTGAGAAGGCATTGCAGCTGAAAATTTCAGAATAAAGGAATTTACTGTTGTGGAGATAATAGACTTAAAAAAAAAAAAAAAGTTTCTTAGGTGGAACAATTTTATTATTGTGGTTTTGTTCTGGGTGGGGTGGCATAATAAACATAAACGCTTCAATTTTATTTTAAAAAAATTTGTGTTAAGGAAATAGTGGAAAATAATGGAATGTAGTTAATTTATTCTTACCTTTGTTATTTGTTAGAATTCATGTGGACAAATCAGTTATGTAAACATCACTTCTTGCAGAAAGAAAAGGCTGACTTGAAGAAATTAGAAAAAGTCCTCAAAGGACCGGAGTTTTCAGCTGTACTATCATTTGATAATCCAGATGTACGAATGGATACATTGGAGCGTGAATTCAGAGAACTTGAAACACAGTATCGTCGCATATTAGATCGACTGTCGTTGGACTGAAGATGCAATCGTTTTTATGGAAAGATGTGTAAATTTTGTCCTTAATTGTTATGTGAACTGATAATGAATGTGTGTTATGAACTTATAGTATTGTATATGATACTCCAAATAAGTTCTTGTATGCTTTGTTCTGTATGTGTTGAACTTTCTCACTCTAATTTATACATTTTTGAATTATGTGAATTGTTCATATGCATTGTTTCATTTATACAAAATTGAAAGCGAGGTGGGAGAGGGAGGAATTGATAATGTTTGTCATTGAGTGTGTTGCGAAAAAATCATGTTTTTTTATTTGCCCTTGTTTTATTGTTGTGAATATAATACCAAATTAAATTGAGAATTTGTACATACCATTACATGAGGGCATTAGAAAACTTACAACCAAGTAACAAATGAAAATGGAACTTGTTTAATGTATTCGTAATATTAATAAAAGAACTGAAAATCATATTTTATAATTTTTATTTATCTTGTACTGAACTGATGTGACAGTGAGATATAATATATGAAGCCTTGTTGATAATCCTTTTGAATGGAAGCAGGAATTTGGGAACATTCCCCTTCTACTGTAGTTCTGAATTCATGATGGATCAGAAGCATTGTCTTGGTACTAGTTTCTGTTGCCAGGTTGCACTGGAATAGAGATATGGAAATTATTAACTATCTGAAGTGATTCCAGATATTAATATGAACTATGTAGATCAACATTTCTGATTGTATAGAATTGGCCTTTAATTATTGTAATATTATTTCTAGATCTCTAGATACTCATCCCTGCTTAATTTTTTAATAGAAAAAATTGTGAAGAATTTGCTGAATCAAGGACACATTTTCCTGATGAATGAAAGTAGTTAATGAATCTCTGTACAAACATTTTTATTCTTCCACTGATTCAGAAGCAAATGAAACTAGTGTTTCAACAGCAGAAACTGTCTTGTATTTTTTTTTTTGTTACGGCAATGGAATTTTGTATTATGTAATACAGTTCAAGTAGTACTAATACATGAACCAGCAAAAGTATTCCCAACTAGCTTCTTCTTTTTTTCTCTTTCTCCTCTTCTCTCTCTCTATCTCTCTCTATCTCTCTCTCTATCTCTCTCTCTATCTCTCTATCTATCTATCTCTATCTCTCTATCTATCTCTATCTCTCTATCTATCTTTTTTTTTTTTTCCCCTTACATTCCAAGCTGCCGGTCTTGGGAATGGCATGCAGTTCACATTACTCCTATGCCACAGCCTCACAGCTAAACCACCTTTCCAACACTAAACAAAGTTTAAAATATTCATTTGAAAATTAAAGAGATTTTCCGTCCCATTATTTCGAAATTAGTTTTAAAAAAAATTCATGGAGGGAAAATCTCGTAATATCAATATTACTCTCTCGCCCTTACGTAAGAAGAGAAATTATAATCGTGCGCCGGAAAATGGCGAATTTCGACGTATAAACGTATTCCCGGGTTCTGTTACGAAAAACTGATTAATCTTGTTCATTTACATAAAGTAAATTACTTAAACACGTGTAGTCAAAATGCATGTTTTGTGGATTCTTCATACCGAAAAATTGATTGAGTGAAAAATGTGCCCGTTCATCTGGTCAGCGCTAGCACCTAACCCGTTATGTAGCCAGAATACAAGTTTTGTGCGTCCTTGATATCGAAACATAAACGGCGAAGTATGTCTGTCCAATCCTTCCGTCTGGTCAGCATTAGAGGTTTTAGTCGTCTTTCTCCAATCAATCTGGGGTGATGTCGCGGCCCCTTGAATTTTAAACCGATATTTTAATTTTGGGGGATTCTGTACATAAAGCCACTGAGATATTTTCAAAAAAGAAAAAAGGTCAAATTTATTTAATAAAAATCATAGTCTCATAGCGTGAAGAACACGTGAGACAAAGGTACAGGTCTTATTTTCGTCGAAATCCCAGATTTTTGTGAAATTACTAACGTTGAGATTTTTCAGTGTCTTCCTACAACTAAAACATTGAAGATGCATCTTTTTTACATGAGTACGTACGTATTAACGGAGTAATATATACAGTGGTAGATCTAGGGGTCATGCCCCCCCCTCCAAGCTCTAGAGTTCACGTTTGTTTGCTCCTAATTTTTTTCTTAACGTTTTTTGAAAGAATAGAGTAAAATACACTTATGAAGACGGCATTGGTCCAATTTTCACTGTTGCCTCTGATTTTTTTGAAAATCGCAAAAGATTGGGATTTTTCGGCGTCTTCCTGCAACTACAAAATTGAAGATAGATTTTTTCTTCAAATGAAATTTGCCCTCCATAATTAGCTCTTATATTAGCGTAACGCACATTTTCTTGAAAATGTTTGTAGTTTTCGCGCAATAGTGCGTGCGAAGTGAGCAATATTAAAAACTAACAAAAACAAGATTTTCTAAAAAACGGCTCCAAAGGTTTTCTTTAAACTTTCGGTGGGGATTGTGCCAAAAGTACTCTATAAGATGACGTATACGCCATCTTGCTCTATTCTTTTGGTTTTTAAAAAAATACATAAATGTGTTTTTTTATACATCTTTAACCCAGTTAATATTTACATTAGCGATTTGTTCACGTTATTTCATTTTTGAGCACATGGGCTTTAAATAATGTTATAAAGTTTCTCGAAAATTGAACAGTTTTCTGTGACAATGAGCTAAAATTTTCGCATTTTCAGATATGCTCAAAAACTATTTCCTCAGAAATAGCTCCATTTTTCCCCCTAACTTTTCCAACGGAAAGTGCTAATTGCACTCTTTAATATGACAAAATTCATTTTGGTATATTCTTTTTATTTCCAAACATTACACAACTATATTTTTTTTTAAAATTTCTCTCACGCCGTTAATATGCTCATTTACAGCATTTGTAAACATTATTGTATTTATGAGTTAAAGTGCATCAATTGTCGTGTGAACAATGAAGTTTTATGTGAAAAAGCTTCATATTTCACATTTACAATGACGCTTTAACTCCATTTCTTTAAACGATTCCACGCGTTTCAACCTTTTAGGACGAAGTTTTAATCTTCTTTAGCAGTGGTGGCTCGTGACTTAAAAGTTGGTGGTTTACGGAATAATGGTAATAAGGGGGCTGATGTTCAGACTGGTATACTTTGGATTTCTAAGTACATTTCAGAAATACACTGTACTTAAATTTCCCATTTTTTCGAGACATTTCCATTTCCACAACAATAGTTCTCAATGTTTAAACTTATAAAGAACATACATATTTACCTATTTGTAAAAAGTCGGCACGTCTTTCCTAGTTCGTAGTAAATTTTGTGATAAATCTTATATTAAAGTCTGTTTGAGTGAGGAAGTCACGCTCGATGGAAAGCATGGCAAGAGCAGATATTCTATTGTGGCGTCTTAGCCGGGGCAATAAATCACAGACGTGAACGGTTTGTAAATTATTGAGTATTTATTTGAAATATGCTCCAACACCTGAATACTGTGTATAATAATTACAATAAACAATATTGACCCGTTACTAGAAGGAATGTTCCTGGTCACCACCACCGCTGGGCTGATAATTAGATATCTTATTCGGTGTGATGCACTAGTAGCCTACGTGAGCATACAAGCGAGTATGCCGCACCTCCCGTCTCGACGTAGCCCGTCAGCTTCAGTTCTCTGCCTCAGTAGCCTATGCATTGAAATGCAGCGCCGCGTACAACCCACACGACTTCCTAACGACGCGCCCAAGAATCAGGAGTTTAGGTCCGGGGTCCGTTTATATTACCTTCTGGGCCGGCTGACGGAACTGCGTCATCTCGCTGTTTCCGCCGACGCGTTTCCACAGCTAGTCTGTCTACGGGGTTTTCAAGTTTGCCCCAAGTGGTCTACGGGGTTCACAAGTGGTCACCCACGACACGGCACCCCTTCCCTTCCGCTCCCTAGGTTTGCCATTGTTCAGCCCGGCGACTCTTCCCGCCAGCTCTGTCCGTGAGCATGAAATGCACGTGGCTAATATTTTGTGTGTAAAAAATGCCGATCATTTATAAAATTTGGGACACGTGGCATTCAACAGTATCTTAAAAGCGCGTTATACTACTTTGTTTCCATATTAGAATAGTTTACCTGAGATTAGAGAAATCAGCAAAGAGAATGACACTGAATGGGGTGAAGGGCGCCTTGCTCTACACAGCGACGAATGCAACTTGGACTTCTTTTAGATGCTGTGATACTCTGCCATTGCAATAGTTCTGAAACTGAAAGATATTTCGTAAGTAGAATGAATATGGTTGTCTTTGTCCTTGCATTGCACATTAGGGACAGGAACAGGTAAAAGTTAGAAATATTGTTTTCAGTGGCAGTGAAAATGGGTAACACAAAGCATGCAATAGATTTAAGCGAAGACATTGAGCTAGCTTGTCATCGGACAGCTGAAACTGTCTGATGCAGCAAACAATCTTGTTTGCTGCGATGTTGCAATCATATTCCGTTCCCCAAGCAGGCAACGCAAGCAGGGAACCCGCGTTGTTCTCGCATTGAAGACAAGGTGTCTGAAACAGTAACGCAATTTGTAAATATTCAATAAAGTAGATTGAACGAGAAAGTGCATACCATATACATTCGAATCTTTTCATTTGGAACAAAAATGTAGGCTAATTTGTTTTGAAACATCTCACGTCGTTGATATTTTTGAGTTCCAGAATCCCTTCCCGTCATTTTAACTATAAATAGTTGAAAGATGAGTAAACGTTTAAAATAAATAAATAAAAATAAATTTTAAAAATCGCAAGATCAGCTATATTTGAAAAATAGTCGTTTCTGAGTGAGAAAACGTATTTGCATCGGTACACGAATTGCAAGTCTGATTTTTCTGCGTTGCTAACAAAACAGAAACTCGCCCTTACCTATACTCTTACCATTTTAAGCAAAAGGAGAGTTCAACAAAACCTGCGCATAGTGAAGCTACATTTAATTTGTGAATGTAGCGTTGGGGGAATTCCGAGCCCCCACCCCACATTAGGTTTATATCTTAAAGGAGGGGGGCCAACACCAAAAAAGCTAGTACAGACTTAGTAGTTTTCGTGTAATATTGCAAGCAATATGTGCAATTTAAAAAAATAGGAAAATAAGATTTTCTCAAAAACGGCTCCAATTTTTTTCTTTAAACTTTTGATAGGACAGTGCTAAATGTACTCTACATAAACATAAACTCCATATTTCTCTCTTCCTTTGCTTTTTTCAAAAATTACAAAATGTAATTTTCTTGACTTGCGAAATATGTCGAAAATATTGATATTGGCGGCAATTTTTTCACATTATTGTATTTATGAGTGCATGTGCTTTAAAAATGTAATATAATGCTTCTCGAAAACTACCATTTTCTATGAAAACTAGCTCAAAATTCCGCAATATCTTTCGAAACGCTCAAACGTCATTCTCCCAAAATGAGTTCAATTTTTTCTTCAAACATTTCGAACGGAAAGTGGTACTTAATACGTTGCAAAGTTAATTTCGGTGTATTTTTTTTTGAAACATCTCACCGTTGATATGTACATTTCCAGCAATTTGTAAGCACTATTCTATTTGTGAGTTAAAGTCCTTAAAATGACTTTAAACTAAGTTTTTCAAAAACTCAAAATTTTCTGTGAAAAAGGGCCTCAAATTTCGAATTTGCAGTAGCGCTCAAACACCAGATTTTTAAAAACTGCTCCAATTTTTTCAAATAAATTTGCCATTTATGACGAGGGTTTACTGTTCCTTAATGATCTTAAAACAATGTTTCCGGTCTACTTTTAGGAAACCGAACAATAAAGAAAATGTCAAAAACAGTACTTTGGGCGTTGACAGATGGCAGAGTAATGGAGAGGGCCATACAAGGATAGGTGATTGGCCTAGCGCTCACTCCCATGGCCGGGGAATGGTGACAGGGTAGAGAAGGAAGGATCGCGTGCGGCGTATGTCTCGTATTCAAGGGTGCTGCTCCAGCATTCGCCTGGAAGCGATTAGGGAAATCATTGATCAAAGCAATCAACTTACGAATTCGTTTCCTGCAGGCACCACAAACTTACCGACATTAAACGCAACAGGTAGACTTCATAAGGCATTGCCTCAATGCCGTCCGTTACCGGCAGTATAATAACCTTCAAACAACGTGAAATTTATATCCGAGGAAATAATCACATGCTTGTAATCTAGACAAGTATCTTGTACTTTTTTGTTACTATTAGCACGTGTAGTGCGAATATGTATTACAATATCCAAGTTATGGTTTTTATAAAACTGATCATGAGAAGGGGGACAGTTTCGGCGTGCAGCGCGTTCCCATTAGAACGAATCGAACTCTTCACTGCTTTTCTTTTTGTAGATGGACACCAACAATCTGGTTATCATCGATGAGATAATTCGTCCTCCAAAAATCCTTTTTAAACTTCGAGATGAATTCATGAAGTTTTTAAACGTGCCACATATACCACATTCACTCTAGACTTCTCGCCCAAAATGTATGTTCTCGCCCTCGTGTGTTTCTCATTTTCGTGAATGACTTGTCAAAAATTTAGCTTCAAATGTGAGACTCTTTACCGATGTCTGTGTCATCTAGCCGGGTATCAAATCTGAGGAAGGCGTAGATATTTTGCAGCGAGACACAGACAAATTACACTCCTGGGCAGAAACAAACGGCATGGAAATAAAGAGTTCAAAGAGCAAAGCCCTCACGTTTCGTAGGGGTCCATGTTATGGTGAAACTGCGTACGAACATCCATGCGTAATCATCCATGCGTACGAACATCCTGCGTAACATCCATGTCATACCTACAGTCACATCTTGCAAATATTTAGGAACATAGACAGTAAATTGAGCTTGAAAAATCAAGTAAATTTCGTTGTGGGGAAAGCCTGGAGATCTTTTCATTTCGTTATGCGGATTCTAAAGAAGAGAACAGTGAGAAGTAAATAATTAGCTTGTATGTCACTAGTGCGACCCGTGTTAGAATATGGCGCTATATGATTGGATCCGCACAGAATATCGTAGGTAATCCAAAAAAGCTCCAGCGCAGAGCATCAAAATTCAATTTCAGGGGCACAAACAATAGAGGTGTATGGGAGTCACTCGAAAAAAAAGGCGGATTAAGTTGCGACTCTATGCTATGTACAAAGCATACACAGGCCATCCGGCTTGGAATGAAATTAACCACCGTCTAGGAAAACCTACATACTTCGGTAGAGGGGATCACGTGCACAAAATTGAGACAAGAATACAGAAAACGGAAGTTGAAAAATGTTCATTCACTTACCGAACTATTAAAGACTGGAACAATTTGCCTTTTTGAGAAAATTTGAAAATAAATTTGTTTCCTTGTTATTTATGATAATTTTAGGTCAGTGTATTACAGTTAACTTTCTACTGTTAAATTAATATTTTTCAAAAAGTACGTTATAACGTAAGGAATTAAGTTTATTATTATTATTATTATTATTATTATTATTATTATTATTATTATTATTATTATTATTATTTTATTACTATTTATGTTGGCCAGTGCAGTGTTGTGAAATGGACAGAATGGAATGTGGGAGAAATGCATCACAGTTCAGTGTAGCGCAGTACAGTGAGTGAAGTGATGTGTAGTAGGGCTTGCGCAGTGAAATTTTGTACATCCAATGTTTTTAATTTACTACTCTTTTGTAATTTATTGTTATTATTTGTAGGCTTATTTCATGTAAAGTTGAGATATTCTGCCACCAAATTGCAATACTTTATTGCAGAGTTAATAATAAATCTAAAAAAAGAAGGCGTGAAAAGTTTCCCATGGAGACGTATAATCAAGAAGTTCAACACCCAATGAACATCCATAGACACGAAAGAAGAATGCAAGGTGTGTTCGTCATTTTGGAAGTCGTTCAAATTAAATACGTCAGAATGGACCGCTCGGTTGATCTTTGCAGCAATGCAATAACCGTCAGCGACCAGCAGTGACCTCAAGCACTTATCGCAACCTCAAGCACCGTCAGCGGCGAACAGTGACTGCTCGTTCAAAACCAGTTCAACCGCCAGCGCGAATAAGACCGAAGCCCAAACGACCGAACCGAACGAATCGTTGCCTTAGCGTTGTTTTTCTAGAGCATAATTTACATGGACCAATTTTGGTGGCATAAGAACATGAACACCATACTGATTGATTTTTATACGTAGGTGTAGTTCTATACAATGGCACAGACTTTCTCCTATTAATTATTTTCATTTCTTCGGGGCTAATCTCCGGGTTACCCACACCCCAGTACCGACTGCCATCTGTCGGCACCTTATGGCTTTACAAGGGCCTGCCACGGTAACTACCACGTCCCGAGGGTCAATTCTCAGAGAAAACTCCATCGCGCTTCCCGCACGTCACGCTGAGGTATCTTTTAGGCTCATCACGGTCCTCCAATTATCATCCTCATCCATTCTCATTATCCCTGTCCTTCATCAATTCCTATTCTCATCCAATTTCTTCTGATCCAACTCCTAAATTGACTCAGGAAGGCTAAAAGATTTACGAAACAAATATACATTTGGAGAAAAATCAGTCTGGGAAACCTATTCGGAGAGCCCAGTAATGTAGTGAAGATTTGCCGTCGAGAGGGTAGGATCCAGGCTTTGCATCCTAATGGGAATCCCCTGACTTGGTGAGCAGCTGAAGGGGGAGGTGCATTGTGTACTGCTTGAGTCAGGAACTGCTTTAAGTGTCAGGTGTGAATGCATACAAATATTTCATATTCTCTTCGAATGCAACACATTAACTCAGAAGTCAAATAACATATTATTCTGAACGAGTTTTCACAATATTTGCCTTGAAAGTCTTCCTTGAAAAAATCTTGATTTTAAGATCAAATAGAAGTTGTGTGATTCTTTAAGTAATCAGTAATAAGTTTTTGAAAGACGCTCTGTGTAATTACTTTCCATTTAAGCCTACAACGAAACTAAATTAAAAAGGAGCAGGCAAGCATCATTGAATTCTAGAAGGGAGAAAGACAGGTACCAATTCTCTCGGACCCACACATTTTTATTCTGGCAAAAACAACCTGATAACGCGCTTCACAAATAAGCGGGAGCGAAGAAAAAGACTTTTTGCGATGCTGATTCATGTCATGAATTAGCGAAAACAAAAATGCATATCTAATTCTTATTCCCATAACTTATTAACGCTCTTTTTGGCATTTTATCTTTTTGTCCTTTTTACTTTCTCGCTACCGCTTACGCAGTTGAGAGAAAGTTATGTATTGCTGCGCGAAAAACGGCGAATTTTCGTTGGAAGAAACTTTTATTAAAGGATCCTGGTAACGAAAAGGTGGATAAATCCAGCTGCTAAATTTAAAAATCCTCTAACACGTGGTGTAGCCAGAATCCATGTTTTGTGGGTCCTTACCGGAAAATCGAATGTCAGCAAAAGGTCAGTCTGCCCATCTGCTAGTCCGTCTTTCCGTTGGTCTGTGAACTACGCTAGCGGCTAAACCGTACAGCCGATTTTCTGCAAAATTGATATTCCCCAATTGATCTGGCTGATGTCGCGACCCCTTGAATTTGAAACCTGTGCTTTAATTTTTGGGGGTAACTTACGTAAAGTCCCTGGGACAGTTTCAAAATTTCCAAAAAATAAATGACTTCATCGTTTTTGATTAACTTTTGTTGTTGGATAGTGTAAAGGACGTTTAAAAAAAGTCTGCAGGTCTTCAAAATTTCAAATTCTTTTCAGCGTCTTCCAACAACTTCAATTAAGAAGATAGCGAATTTTCCCTTAATGAAATTTGTTCCTTAAAGATAGTTTTCGAAATAAGGTCATAGACATTTTTCAAAAATTTAAGTAGTTTTTGCCTAATTTTGGGTGAAAATACTGATGAGAAAGTACTTTCCACTAGTTCTTTTTAAAATACGGCCTTTAGTTCTAAATACAACACGCAATGAAGAAATGTAATACGGGTAACCTATCTTCACGGAATCACGCATCATTGAAATTTATGAATTCGCGATTCAAAAATAGTTATGATAGGCGTGGTAAAAGTGACTTTTTATTTTACGAGTAGAAAAGGGTTGCGATAGGCTTTTAGCACTAATGTGAAAACTTGAACTTTTAACACACTACGCCTGTCCTTAAAAAAAAAAAAAAAAAAAAAAACAAACAAACAAACAAACAAACAAACAACGCTTTTACGGGCGGCTGTCTAAAAACAATATTTTTTGGGATCCCGAGTGTTCCGAGCGCTTCTGAAGCTCCGTACATCAGTTGATGTGGGATCGTGGCCCGCTTGCGTGCTCGGGAGGCAGCCCGAGGGGGCGCAGCGGCGGCGAGGCGGCCGCCACTGAGCTTACCTGTGAGTGCGGTGCGATGCGCGGCGCGTGTATCGACCGCGGGGAGCGCTGGCGCGCGTATATATACGCTCGCGACCGCCCTTTTAATCGCGGTGAGTGCTCCCTAGGGAGGGACAAGTGTCATCGCCGGGCCCGCCGCGCCCGATTGTGCACGCGCGCTGCAAAGGGGAGGGGAGGGGAGGGGGAGCTAGGGAACGGGGGCAGGTGGAAACGGGAGAGGACGAGGGAGGTGGGAGAGGGTCGGTCGTATCTTTTATCGACGCTCGTGGGAGTAGTCGCTTCTCCCTCCCACGTGGTCACCTCTCTCGCGTTTTGTCCCTCTTCCCTCATTTCTTGGTACCGGCTTAGGTGGCTCAGGGAATCAATTAACGTCACTGCAGTGCCACTGATCAGGAGGTCTCAGGATTTCTGATCCCTATTTCTATCCCGGTGATGGCAGGATTTTTGACACTAGCTTGTCAGTAAGGTCGAATTCAGCCGCTGTCTGGAGGAGAATTCTAGTGGACGGCTATTCTGATCGGTAGTTTTCCGTGGTTTCTCCGATCAACTGCAGGGTAATGCCGGAGAGTACCCTTCCAAACGGGCCACGGACCGCACGTGGTCTCTCCTTCCCCTTTCCTCTCCTATCCACACCTCTTACTTACACAGACTTACTCCTTCATGCACTATACTACCAAACATGTCGGGATTACAATCGAGAGCTTAGAGCTTGTGTGACTGAATCGGTGCTGGGAGATATCTGGTTGTGGAAACCCCGCGAGCTGACGAGTAAGTCGACGCCAGATCTCGCCATCCAGCGAGGGAAGATTGCCGCTACCTCTCCCCATAAAAAATGCACTACACTTACGCACTAATGACAATAGCAATTGACGCGTCCGAAAACACTGATTAAGCAACCAATCAAAAGCTAATTTTTTGGTTATATTTTGGGCTACAATTTTTATTTACTTTGCAATTTTAAAAACATTTTAAACGGCGTTTATGTTTTGTATCATAAGATATTATAGATTCTGCTCCAGAGGAAACGAATGGATTGTAACAATTCGAATCAAAAAGTGATTCCCTTAAACCATTGTATATACGTACGGTCACAGGATTTCTGTGCAATATTTGCCAATGAGCCAAAAAAGATAATTATAATTACCTCAGAAATAAACGAGAAAAGCACATTTCTGATTACTCCATCATTGATAATAAAAATGTAAATGAAGTTGGACTAAAAATCAGCGACTAAGTAATTGTAAGGTATTTGTTTATAAGAATATATAAAACCATTGACGAATTGTCCATTCAAGAAGATATATCGTACACAATTGTTTTTTTGAGATCGCCCGTACCATTCCTTCCTGCCTACAGTAAAGTAGTTTCGACAAAGACTTGGTCATTACCGGATTTATTTCGAATATTCATTTTCTCTACTACGATATTTCTATTTATTTTGAGTAATGCTATATTTTATGGATTTTGGTTACCAATTTTGATATGCTTATATTTATAACTCGAAAGCTTGTTGCTAACGCATAATTTTTTTGTTCTTGAATATAGAATCAAAATCCTGATTGTTCACCGCCGTCATAACTTTAACAGAATAATTCACTTTAAGATCATTAACTTACCTAATGATGAACGAAATAAACTAACATTCTTGCCTTTCAATTATTATTAAGTAAACGAATTAGAACAGGGATGGATAGGTAGACGATTTCACGCCGGCCAAGCGTACGCATTCCGAAAGCATCACGACATCACTTGTCCAGACATTGGGCGACCGCAGGGAAATCACGTAGAGCAAGGATGACGATCTTCCTGCTCGTATGTGCTGTATTCAGATCTTGTGCTTTGCTCTGAAGCGAATGCATCTTGCGGCACTTTTTATCACTGTCGTTATACATCTAATTAGAGCAGAGTTTATTTGAGTGTTGCCACTCACAACAGTAGACTACGAGAGCTAGGGCTTTCGATTCCTGCCATTGAACACAGACAACGCTCTCTGAAATGCGCATTTGCTGGCAACATAACTGAAGATTTTGTGGTCGTTATGTCATTCAACCCATTTGACTCTGCTTCTCTCATTCGTTCCTTTGCAGTTGGCTAACTTGTAAATGGCTTCGACACTTCCTTTTGTGGTGTCCTCGTCCGACGAAAATGTAGTTCGCCACGAGAAATAATTGAAATTAGAAAGTGCAGAGCTACTGTGCTCTTTTGTAAAAAATATTTTTTATAAACATTACATTGAATTTACTTTTTGTCTGATGAGTATAATGTTGATTTGAAAACGGAGTCTTGAATGTCAGACGCGTACTGTCGCAAGAGTTTCCTGCTCCTGTGCGGACGACCTGTGTTTGCGTTTTATCAATTCTTTTTTAATATAATTACACGGTTGTGAACAATAAGAAGCCATGACGTCTTAAATAGAGCCATGTTCAAACACAAACACTTAACGAAGGGGTGTGGCTGGAAAGCTGTCGCGGTGGGGAGATACTTCTCTTAATTTGATGTGATGTTCGTTTGTTTAGCGAACTGTCATTTTGGCTCATTCTTAGGCGGATTCTTCTATACCAACACGCTCGCATAGTCTCGGGGGAAAACGCACATTTATGAGGCAACAACCCGCCCAGAGTCTGCGGCTGTCGATGGGAGGGTTTCCACCACAGCAAACGGAACTCCCGGGCAGCCAGAGGTCGAAAGGAAAAGTACCCGCGACCATCCGGTCACGCTGAAGGATTGTGACAGTGATCGAGCGCTCTGTCACTTCTACGAAATGACAGAGGCACTGCTCAGATTAGTGAATGAAGCTGCCAGCTGCCGGGCAGTGGCCTGGCGTTTGTTTAATTTCATGCAACTCAGCTTATAAGATTTAAATTCACGGAATCTGTGCATTGGCTCGTATTTGAATGTGTATGAGTGTTTTTTTAAGGTTAAGACTTTCAATGTGACTTTCATGTAGATTGATTAAAATATGTAGATTCATGTGTTTATTTCAATATGCTTTCCTTTTTTCTCCAACCATATGATACACAAATGATAGTCTTCACGTATACGAATACATCTCTGGCGGTCCCGCTCGAAAAGAATGTCCCTGTGGAAGCGGCTGAGCTGTACTTCCCCGAGGAGTGCGCCTGGTCCCCTGGGCCGGGACTTTCCGCGCGCCATCCTCAGATTGATCGCAGGGAG